ATCCGTCACCTGTAGCCACCTGCTTGCTTGATACCTGCTTGATGGGATTCAGGGAGTTCTACTCCCTTAAACCGGCCCAAGGCCACCTTGAGGTGCTTCCGGGACTTGGCGTCCCCGCGGCCCGGTCGTCGACCAGTCCTCCTGGTTACTGGACTGGTCAACCAGGCTGTTGGACGTGGCTGCTCGCAGCCTGACGTATGAGGCTGGTCGGGCACTTCATGAAGAAAACTATCTAGTTTCCTCTTGAAAATGTCCCCCAGTAGTTCCGGCAATATTTCTTAAACTCGCTGGGAGGATGTTGAACAACTGTGGACCTCAGATGTTTATACAGTGTTCTCTGATCTTCACTGGTTCTGTCCTGCATTTTCTTTCATATCCTTCACTCCAATAAGTTATTATTTTAATGTGGTGTATTAGTTGATATCGTCCCTATCACAGGTAATGGTAGCCTAGCCTGATCCTGGCAGCCACTGTGTTGCACAGTCTAGTGGACGTTTTGCGCTATACGTAGATTTCGGATCTAAATCATCACTTTTATACATTCAGACCTTTCGAAATCGGTAATTTTTCTTCTTATAAACCAGAGTTTTTAAAGCAATATAATTTAGACAACAGAGACGGAGAAACTTTGGTCTAATTCAACTTATCCTTGTTACACGCAAATTTGGCAGAAGTGTGTGTCATTATGGTGGGTTATATTTATGCGATATGTTGTTCATGCAGTAGATTGTAAACGTGTTAGTCAGTGCAACGAGCAGGTAATTTATAATTGCTACTATGAGGCTCTTACTGTCGCTCTTGCAGAAGTTTTCAAGTGCTTGAAGAGCAGACTTTGAATCACACAATATTATTCCTCCTGTGTTTTTTAATGTACTTGTAGCTAGTTGTAGCGCAGGTAGTTCTGTTTGTGTTAAGTTCAGCAAGTTGTTTAACCCAACACTGATAGTCTGTGTGCAAGTATTGTAAGTATAAAACCTGAAGGCTGCTGCAGTCCGTCCTATTGACGACTGAACTGAGGCGTCGGTGTAGACACGGTGCTCGTGAGATCTTAGGGTTTTGATAGAGGATGCAATTGTTTCAAGTGTGTCAGCTTTGAGATGAGCAAGAGTGTCTTGTATCGGCCAATAGGCCTTCTGCTTTACCTTTATCCTTATGTTCTCAAGATTCTCATTACCTGGTTGATCAGTCCAGCAACCAGGAGGCCGGGCCGCGGGGACGCTAAGCCCCGGAAGCACCTCAAGGTAAGGTACCTTTCTTGGTGACGGGTGTGTGTGTGTGATAATTGAATGGTGGTGGCACAGGTAGAGGAATCTGTGACTCAATCTACCTGCAGTGACAGGTAGATTGCATTTAAAAGGAAGAATGTTCAGTTTGATGAGATTGAAGGGATTTTTACTCAGTCATATAACGTACGAGAAGTTGGCATGTTGGCATCACTCAGTAGTGAGTTAGCGTCACGATCATTTGTCTCAGAGCGATGCAGAAGATGTAAGGTGGAAGGTAGTGGATGACAATTGTTTGTTGACGCGGATTTGTGGACAACTCTACGGGCAACAGATGCCAAAGTTGGCTTTATGATGCTCTCTTACGTACTAATAACATAGAAACAAAAATTTTGAATTGTGTTAATAGGCGTTCCCATCATCAAGAAACTTTTGTACTACAGTGTCTTATCGTAACCTACCAGAGTACCCACGGGACAGACTGAAAATACTGCAAAAATTTTCAGTATTGAAAATACTGAAAACGGGAAAGAATGTCAAATAGCCGCTACTCTTTTCTAGTAAGACATTTCTGGCCTTAGGTAAACAATACGTGAAAATGCGTCGTGCTATTAGGTGGACGGGTTGATACAGTGGCAACGCCTTGACCCATGGTGTAACTCCCCCTCTCAGTTGATATCACATTTTTAACGGATTGACCAACCCTATAACAATACGACGTATTAGTACAATTTCAAGCACCGCAATATTGACGTTTTCAATGCGTCTGCCTCGATAGGTTAAGGGGTCCGTTTAATTACCCAAATTTACCCAAAGCTTCCTAGCATTACGTACGTAATGAAGTATGATATATTTACTCACTATAATGTTGGTGAAGAATGTAGAACATGAAAAACCATATTTTTACTCTGAAATAATATAATTTTATAGCGAAATTGGGTCCTAACCATCCTGCGAGATGGTGACTTTTAGTATCACAGCTACCTTCAAGTTCACTCTTGTGTTGATGATATCCTCATAATGCACCCAGAGTCTGCCAGTGCAGACCACTCATCACGTGTCTCTGTATGACTAACCATCCTGTGTAATGGAGATTTTTTTAGCACCACGTAGTGGTGCTAAAAAACTTTTTGACACATTGTACTCCCCTTCATATAGTCTAAGGCAGCTGCACAAATGCACATGTACCAAATATATTAATAAAAAAAGGGTCCATTTAATTACCCAAAGCCATAACATTGTCGCTTGGAGCGTCGACTTAATGTGTTGTAACCTACCAATTAGTTTCGTCTGATTTTGTTATAAAATGATATTATTTCAGAGTAAAAAGTATGTTTTTCCATGTTCTACATTCAACACCAACATTATAGTGAGTAAATATATCACAGGTTTTCATTACTTACGCAATGATAGGAAGCTTTGGGTAGCTTTGAGTAGATTTGGGTAGCTTTAGGTAATTAGAGGGACCGCGAGCGGGCGGGCGCGTGGTGTTGGCGTAGATGGTGCCGGGTCTTCCCTCACTGCTCAGTGCCACGCGCTTGGCACTCATACTAATGGTTCCCTAACACGCGCCCCCTTGTATAATGCACTTTATTTGTGAATACGCTTTATATTTTTTATTTATATAAACAAGAGTTCTTGTATATATAAATATAAGAGAGCCACTAGCACGCATAGCGTTTCGAGCAGGTCCTTAATCATAATTTTGCCCAGAGATACGACCCAACAAATCGTTTAACAATTGGGTACCCATTTACTGCTGGGTGAACACAGGTCATAGTTAAGGATTTGGAGCCCCCCATCAATCCTCCCAGGCCAGGATACGAACCCAGGCCAAAGCGCTCGCAAAGCATCGGGCGAACATTTTACCACTGCGGCACGGGGACTGCGTGACTGCTTCATTAAGTGTATACTTTTTTTTTCTCGTTTAAGCCTATATACTTGCTTATCTAAGTTTGTGTAAATATACACACAAGAAAGTGTGCAGCTCTTGCTATGGTTAAACATTCTCATGATAAGATTCTCACAAACATAAACTCATGAAAAAACTGATTTTAAGAAAGAAACTGTGGCATCCACCATTGTTAACTCAAGGGTTTCATAAGGTGAATAATGGAGCATCCATAGCCTAGCTTAATGGGTAGTTGAGCATTAATATCCCAAGTTTATGGGAGAAACGATGACGTTTTGGCCTGGCCTGGATGATAACGCCTGGATTGTCAAATGATAACGCAGGTGTCCTAAGGCCAGCTCAGCGTGGACAGAAACCTCGCGTAGAGCAAAAGGGCAAATGTCCCTTGCAAAATGCAAAATATCAAGTCATATGTGAGGGAAAGAGATTGAAGAAGATTAAACCCAGAATGTAGCACGGTCATGAATAGCCCATAAAGGGACACAGGTTGTTGTTTTGAAATGTCTATGTAGCACGGGCTATAGTGATCCCGTAATTGAGTTTGATTATTTGCGTTAATCTTATCACTTTGATATTTGGGTCAGAGTTTTAAATGGTGGCGAGGTTTCCTCCCTTTCTCCCGTTTCTTTATCGCTTCTGTTTTAGCGTACTGTACTGGTTTTAGACTTGTTTTAATAACATTATTTTGGGTTTCACACATAGATGCACTTCTTTTCCTATATGTAGAATTTCTGTGGTGAGTTGTATATTATACCTGTTTACATGATGACATGTAAATTATTCTCAATTGCATAATTTGTCGTCTTTCAGGGCATATAATTCTGTTTGCAATGTTGAGCACCCACTATTCATGCTCCAATAAGCTTCATTGGTTGCTAGTGTAAACTACTGCCCCAGCAGAACATCTTTCTTGATCAATTGATCCTTCTGTGAAGATGTCGGTCTTGAGATGGTTTCCTTATGTGTAGTGGAAGTGGGTTGAACAGTCTCTGGCCTCTAATGATGTTCTCTCTGAGTACCTATTGCACCTCTGCTTTTCAAAGGGGGTATTCTGCACATTCTGCCATGCCTTCTGGTCTCATGTGATGGTGTTTCTGTGTGCTCAGCCTGGTTGATCAGGTATTCTTTGGTATATGGTACGTGTAGAAAAGATAAAACACTTAAATTATTGGGACAGTCTCAAAGCTCTCAAAATGTACTCTCTGGAAAGGATACAAGAGAGGTATCAAATAATATATAAATTGAAGATACTGGAGGATCAGGTCACAAATTTGCACAAACAACATACTGGAGCAAAAGATACGGCAGGAAATGTAAAATTGAAGCTGTAAGGAGTAGAGGTGCTGTAAGCACAGAGAACACTGTGTGAACATCAGGGGTCCACAGTTGTTCAGTATTCTTGCAGAAAGTATAAAAAATATTGCCAGAACAAAAGTGGAAGTATTCAAGAAAAAACTGTACACTTCTACAAGAATGGCTGGACCAAGCTCTACTTGGGGAGTAGAACAACTCCCAGAACCCCATCCAGGTATAATCTAGGCACAACCTCATCTAGGTACAATATATAATGAGTAGTAAAGTGATTCAGGAAGTGGTCCACTTATCTCTATACTGTACTAGGTAATTTACATCTGCGGTTAGTCAGTTACACAGATAATAATTCTATGAGTTCCTGTAAACTTACACGTTACATATATATTTCTAAAAAAAATTGGATTATATTTCAACATTACGGCTAATTTATATATTTGTTGATCTAAATTAGTTTTTTTATACAGTAACTCATACAATATATGCTACAGTATTTGAGAATTAAAATTTTTGTCTTTTACTAAATTTACCTAATATTGCTTTTCTCTCGACAGTTGCCCACCAAGAACATTCCTGCCTGCACTCTGCCGTATCTTCCTGGATGAGTGTGCTCCAGATAATGTTTTAGAAGTCACTGCCCGTGCTATTACTTATTACCTGGATGTTTCTGCCGAGTGTACGCGTCGCATCACCACCGTAGATGGGGCTATAAAGGCAATGTGCAACCGTCTTGTGGTGGCTGATGTGTGCTCAAGAACCAGCAAAGACCTAGCTGAGCAGTGTATTAAGGTAGAGTCTGATTTGTTATGCTGCTTCTAAGCAGTTGTGATTTGTTTTTCACATTTAATACATTGTTAGGTTGAACATTGCAAATCATTTGATCATGCAGAAAATAAATAGGGGCAGGGGGAGTCAAGGAACCCACCAGAGGCTCACCCTGATAGGGGTGATCTTTTACATTCGAAGCTGGTTTTCTGGGGTAGTCTCTCAGTGGCTACCTGAAGCTAGCTAACTGCAGAGAAGAGGGAACAAATGGGACTTCCTGGAAGGAAGAGAGGAGGCAGCTACAAAAGTTTGAGGAGGATGCAAGTTGATGCTCCAGCATCTGAAGCATCAACTGAACTGGGGGAAAGAGGTAACAGAGTCAACTAGTCCAACTAAAAGACACTAGTCCAACTAAAAGACACTAGTCCAACTAAAAGACACTAGTCCAACTAAAAGACACTAGTCCAACTAAAAGACACTAGTCCAACTAAAAGACACTAGTCCAACTAAAAGACACTAGTCCAACTAAAAGACACTAGTCCAACTAAAAGACACTAGTCCAACTAAAAGACACTAGTCCAACTAAAAGACACTAGTCCTCAACTAATCCAGCTAAAATGCATCCACAGTGAGAGCCTCGAGATTGAGAAATGGAGCCACATGGGGGGCCCAGGAGTGTGGGCTTGGTGCAGTGTGCATGGGCATGCTGTCTATGGCTGCTTTATAGTCCAGTGGTGTTGGGGTAACATCTGATAACATCTGGTTCGATGTTGGTGTCACATTCATATGGAATTTGTTTGGATCAAGAAAGAAAATCTACAATTTTCATATGGAAAGTTCTTTGGATCAGAAAATCGACATTTAATATAAATGACAAAAAATAATGGAAATTAAAAAGATCACTTAAAATGGAAGTTTGCATGCAATACCTGGTGCAATTCGTCCAAATAATTGGGACTGCTCTGTACATACGGTGTTTTCTTTATTTAATTTCATAGCTATATTTGATCATCCCCCATCCTTGTTGTTCTTGGTGCTTTCCCTTTGTAACACCTGTCTCTTTGTGGTGGTTGCGAGTGTGTGCTCTGACAACCTGGGGTATTAGTAGAGTGTGGCTTGGGAAGCTTTCCTGGTCAAAGGATACAAGAGAGACCATAAGTGAATACCATCCTATGGCAATTAATCCTGTGGTCCCTGTGAGTCAGAGCTCTGTCTCCAGTGATTAGACTGAGTTGACCTTTGATGTGTCTATCTATTCCTAAAGTTGCATTAATTTTGTATTTTACTACATGAATGACATTACTCGATCAGTACTGTGACAGAAAAATTATCAAAATTAATCATTCTCTCCCATTCCCTCCTCTTTCACTTCCCTACTCCCCCCCTTTTTTTTATATACTTGCTTGTCGCCTACATTTTCCCCTTACTGTTCCTTATTCCATAGCCACCTCTTTCTCCCCCTCCCTGTACTCTGTGTGTTGTACAATAATTAGAATCAATAATGTGGTTACTAAGGTGTAATTTTATCTTTCAGGTTCTTGAATTGATATGCACCCGCGAAGCTGGTGCAGTTTTTGAAGCAGGTGGTTTGAACTGCGTCCTTTCATTTATTAGAGACAATGGTCACTTGGTTCACAAAGACACGCTTCACTCAGCAATGCACCTTGTTTCTCGCTTATGTGGGAAAATGGAACCGGCTGATCCAGGACTTGCTCCGTGTGTCGAGTCCCTTTCCACACTGCTCAGACATGAGGTAAACATGATTTGGTATGCTTAATTCAGTCATATGCTTCTCTTATTGTCAAGAGAATAGAGAACTTAGATATTAATATTGTTCATTAAGGTTGATAAGATAGTGCAAATATGAGTAAATTATTTTCATTGTCTGCTTTGAATGCAATATGTAGTTTTATCACTTAATATCACTTTATTACAATATCAGTAAAAACAAAATTAAGGCACAATTTTTTTTTTTTTTAATAGTACTGTAATTGGGTGAAATGTGTAAGGTTTAGGATAAAATGTCTGAGTAAACACAGGATGCACGGAAATATCCCGTGCATATGTTCAAACCCTCATCATGGCCCTTTGGATTTGTCTTTGAGTAAATTTACTCAATCTTCATAATTAAATTACTGTAATTGTTTAACACATTTGGGAATAAATTGCACATACAGTACTATAATATAGTCCTCAGCTGAAATATAGAATGTTCTATGTTACTCTAAAATTTTTAATTTCTTTATGCATATTTTTCTTGAATTAAAGGGCATTTTGTTTTTAATTTGTTCAGGATCAGCATGTAGCAGATGGAGCTCTACGTTGTTTTGCCTCCTTGGCTGACCGGTTCACTCGGCGTGCCCAGGACCCAGCACCTCTTGCACAGCACTGCCTTGTTACTCACCTTTTAGCTCGTTTAGCCGGTAAGATTTTCCTTCTAATTATCCTTACTAGTGTGAGGCATAAAACCAGCGTTGAATGTAATGAAATGCCGTTTTCTGGGTGATCCCCGGAGGCATCCTGAAGCTGTCCGAACTGATATGTGTTACATTAGTTTGAGGTCATCAGTCACAGGCGTTTTTATGCCTACCGGGAACTACGAGCCAGAACCTGGTCCCCTGAGAGAGGTGCAGGGAGCAATGGCCTATGAGCACTTTACATTTAAAGTACAGTATGTCATAATTGCCATCAACCGAGGAAAGATGGGGCCCGACGTCTGAGTGGACAGCGCTGTGGATTCGCAGTCCTAAGGGTCTGTGTTCAATCCCCGGCGGAGGCGGAAACAAATGGGCAGTTTCTTTTACCCTGATGCGCCTATTCACCTAGCAGTAAATAGATGCCTGGGAGTTAGACAGCTGCTATGGGCTGCTTTCTGGAGATGTGTAAGAAAAAGGAGGCCTAGTCAAGGACCGGGACCCACCTCCCCTCTCCCTCCCCCCCCCCCCCCCCCCCCATTCCTCCCTCCCCCCATTTCCTCCCCCCCCCCCCATTTCCTCCCTCCCCCCCCCCCCCCCCATTTCCCCCTTCCCCCATTTCCCCCCCCCCCCCCATTTCCCCCTCCCCCTATTTCCCCCCTCCCCCACATTTCCCCCCTCCCCCCATTTCCCCCCTTAAGTAACTCCTATGACACTCCTATGACAGGTGCCCAAACTAATACAGTATAGCACGTATCAGTTCAGATAGCGTCAGGGAACCGAAGGGGCTCCCAACAGAAAAGGAGTTTTATAAATAATTTAGATCACAACATTACAATATCAAGCATAGATTCATTACCTGTATGTAAGTATGAAAGTCCCTTGCATACTTGTTGGCAGCTTTATGGAGGACTATATTCCCTTTGTTGAAATTCTAGCCCCCATAGGTATTGCTAGTCCCTCTTTAGTTTTGATTAGTTCATCAGAACTTTATTAGGTATTCCCAGTAAGGATACCATTTGGTTGTGTCCTATTTATTGGTTCTCTCTTTCTTAAGACATGTTTCTGTTCTGTGTACACTTGTGTACTGAGAATGCTTTATTGGATTGACTTGAAAATTCAAATACTTTAGTTAAAACAAAAACTTCTTTATTGAAATTGAACAAATGTATACCAGGAGTGGTCAAACTTTCTTGCTGTAAGAGCCACAAATGATAAAGCTCAGATGTTTGAGAGCCACAAGACATGAACACAATTTAAACTTACATTTTTATTGTTACATACACTTTTTGTTAAGAAATTTTATATATAATTTAAAAAAATGCATGTGGCTCACGAGCTGCGGTTTGGCTACCCATAATGTAGTGTAGCTTCTTCATTAATGCGAAGCTACATTATGTCAGGCAAAGTTCTAATGTAATTTTTTTTTTTGGGGGGAGATATATACAAGAGTTGTTACATTCTTGTACTTTTCTTGTACATTCTTGTACATTGTAAAAATTTCTTGTACATTCTTGTACATACTTTGTAAAAATTAGCCATTTTTATTTCATTTTATTAATTTTCATGCTATATCTTTAGAAGGCCTCATTTTATTGATGAGTAATAGTGTTTCTTGCAGAGAATATTAGTGTCAAAATGTACTATCATTAGTTTGGCATCTCATTTGAAAATTTCACATTATCCAGCCTATCCTACCAGTTACCACCAAATAATAAGTTTACAACTACCAACTATTACAACAGGAAGCACAATAACCACCAATACAAATACCACAACTGCTCCCACAAAACATTACAATTCTACCACAACCACTGCTACCAACACACACAACTGCCACAGCCACAGCTACTTCAAATACTTGAACATCATTAATAGTACTGTCTAAGCTCACTTACCTGGACTATTTGGGAAGGACCCCTCACTAGATAAGCCAAACATCTGGATAAGCAGACTTCTTACTGGGGAAATCCAAAAATAAACATATTTGCAATTTTTGTAGTTGCTGCCTATATTTATATTGTAAGAATTTTTATGATTACATGAAAAGTGGTAAACAATTGTGTGAAAGTTTGTGTTTACTTTTAAAGGTGCTGCCCCCCAGCCAGCACCCGGTGCGGCTGCCACTGCCCCAGGAGCGCCTGCTGCCACTCCAGAAAACTCCAAAACATCTGCCTCCGTTTCTACTGTGATTTCTCTGCTCTCTACTCTGTGTAGAGGCTCACCCAGTATTACTCATGTGAGTTCTCTTCATTTATAAGTTTTCCTTAAGGTTTCTGTTCAATAATTTTAAAACAGCTCATTGTGTTGGAATCTACAATGCTTACATGCAATCATAAATTGGTGTTTCCTCTTGTCATTGAACAGTGAGGCCAGTGACATCACTTCCCCCAACTCCTCCTCCTCCCTTATTTTTGTTTGATTTCTTTCCGTTTCTTCTTCTTAGTTCTGAGAAACATTTTGTTTTGGTATTTGCTCGAGACATACAAATGCACGTTACAGCTATGGAGGCAGCCTCAAGTGCCAAATATATTTAAAACATTCAATGTGACCGGGTAATTATAGGTTCTCTTCTGCAAATTGTAAAGTGTATGGCAAGAAAAACCCAACATAGGGTTATAGTACGTGTGTGTTTGTAACAAGTCCTAAATATTTAAACATTCTGCTTCCATAATGAACATGTCCTATGTTCGTGGGGAACCCTGGCAAGTGCCCATCGGGCCCATATAGTAAGACAACTCTGTATCCATTTTATACCCCTGAAGGACAAAAATGCTCTAAAATGTTCTTCAAAATATTCTAAATATCTCAAAATAATATACTATAATAGCAGGTATGATTTCTAAGTAAATAAAGGCTTACTAGACTGAAAACTGTTAAAGAACTGGGAATTGAGTGCTTCCATGTCCTCTGCTAAAAGCAAATTTCATTTATTTTCACTCTGCATTAAATAAAAGTATTTGTTGATAGCCCTAGATTGAGTTCTCCGTATGAGTACTCATAGCTCAAACTCTTGACATGCTTGATTAGGTAGTAATTGCAGAAATCTGGCATTTGGTCAGGTTGAGTATAGAACACTTCAAAATACAGTGGTCCCTTAACAGAATTAATTGATGCTTGAAATCTCTAAATTTATATTTTCTCACTTCTGTAAATAAAGCTTAGTAAATCAGGTAAAGTTTAACTGAAATTACCTAAGGGCCTCCATTACTAATGACCTTGGCAGGGACAGGAAGCTGAATTTTTTTTCCAGCTGTTTGATACAGTATTTTGAACATATTTTGGATTTTTATATTTCCTGTTTTTCTCCATAGCCGAGACCTTGTGGCATATGTCACAAAAACAGTTGAAAAATGAAAGTAAATCGATACATCTTCAATATTCTGAAGTACCATATAGTACAGGTGGTATTATGTTTAGCAAGTGTTAACAATTTCATATATGACAAAAGTAATGTTAAAAGTAATTTCTTATGTTGTATGCACAAAATGGTAACAATAGATTACCCATTTTCTTTGATGCATGCATGTTAATCACACTTAACTCTCCTAAACATTTACCTACAGAATCTGTTGAGATCTGAACTCCCAGATGCTATTGAAAAAGCCCTTCAAGGAGATGAGCGCTGTGTGCTGGACACCATGCGCTTGGTGGACCTGTTGCTGGTACTGCTTTTTGAAGGAAGAAAGGCCCTACCCAAATCAGGGATGAGTGCTGTTGCTAGTAGACTCCCAGGCCTCAGACGAATGGACAGTCCAGGGGAGAAGACTCATCGCCAACTAATAGACTGTATTAGAAGTAAAGACACAGATGCTCTGATAGATGCCATAGATAGTGGAGGTATTGAGGTGAATTTTATGGATGATGTTGGCCAGACTCTTCTCAATTGGGCTTCAGCATTTGGTACTCAGGAAATGGTTGAGTTCCTTTGTGAGAGAGGTGCTGATGTAAACAAAGGTATGTTGATCATTCTTCTCGTTTAGTATTTGACTATTTCCTTGTCATGCATGTATCTTTTATAATAAGAAAGAGATTTTTAATACAAATTGCATGGTTAATGGATTTTGTATAGGTTAGATTTAAATAAATAAAAATTATAATATATATTTTCAAGTAGAATTTGCATGAAATCAGAAATCAGGAAAACAAGGTATGGCTTTGTAAATACAATAAATTATTATATGGCACTTTTAATTTATGAATATATTTCAGGCCAAAGATCCTCCTCCCTCCATTATGCAGCATGCTTCGGGCGCCCTCAAATTGCCAAAGTACTGTTACGTCACGGGGCCAACCCTGACCTTCGTGATGAAGACGGCAAGACTCCTCTAGATAAAGCACGAGAGAGAAATGATGAGGGACACAGGGAGGTTGCTGCTATACTTCAGAGTCCAGCTGAATGGCTAGTTGTTGCTGAAAGCAAAGTAAATATAATTTCTTCTATCAATTTGAAATAAAGTATTATTTTGGGGTGGGGTGGAGGGAGAATTTTGGTATTAACTAGAAAAGGTAAATGTTCAATTTAAATTTTGACAACAATTATTCGTTCACTAATTGAAAAATATTTTCAATGTGTAATATATATAATTTTATATATTAAATTTTGGAAGTTATAAAAATGTTATCAATACTCAGGAAGGGAAGAAATCAACAGAGGAAGGTAATATTACGAATACAGAAGATACAGAGATTGGAGAGCCTCGTGGAGATGTGGAAATGGCACCTGTGTATCTTAGTCACTTACTTCCAGTGTTCTGTCATACCTTCCAAGCTACAATGGTACATACTGTAAGAAAGGCTTCGCTCAGTATACTTCGTAAAATGGTGCACTATATTCCTGCACCCTTGCTTCACCAGGTAAATATGAGCTGCAGTGGTTCTCTGGTTAAATTCACTAGATTTCAGTACTGTATAGTGCTTGATAATTCATACACATAAAAAAATTTGAATGTACAGTAATAGGATCACTTAAAACAACATCTTTTCTTTCTTGTATTTAGTTAAAATGTACATTTGACTTTCGTGAAAGAAGAGAGTATACTTGATTTATCACTTATTGATTAGGACTGCTAACTTGGGTATTCCTCTTGCTTAAGGTAGGGTAGCCCTTTTGCAATGAAAGTGATTACATCACCCTAAGGAAAATAGTTGCTTGGTGCACAAAGCTAGTTTTTCCATGTACATAGGATTCTTCATACTCTAATATTTGACTAGGTACTGTGAGTTTCAAACTGGTACAAGGCATTGGTTTAGTACATGTAACCATCTGTTGACAAAATCAAATTTCACCCCAAATAATAGTTCAAAAACTGACTTGAATGCCTTGTGAAAAGCATACATTTGCACATTACACTGATTTATATTACCTGGTTTGCATAATTATGGTATGTTTTATACATTGTGATATGGACAAGTCATATATTTATTTCTATATAGTACTGTGCACAGTATACTGTATACAAGCTTGGTGATAATTTGTGTTTGTAGTTACCTAAGTGTAGAATGAATGAATGAAAAATATAGGTCAAGATACCCCATGGGTTGAGCGGGGAAGTGGGGATAGATGAAGAATAACCAATGAGAGGAAACGTCGAAGTCAGAGAGACAGCGCCTTTAGTGCTAGACCCAGCTGCATGGTGTAACTTGAGGCTTTCAACACCGGGCCGGCTAGGCGAGGAGGCAGGGTCTTGAGTCGGGGGCGACAAATCGAGGACTGCTGTCCTCTTTGAGTTGTGGAACCATCATCATCTAAGTGTAGTTACAGGAAGAGAGCTGTGCTCATAGTGACCTGTCTTGCCAGTACTATTATATGAAGCTTTAAAACTACTGATGATTTTGGTGTCCACCATTTCACTCAATTTGTTCCTACCACTCTTTTTTTTACAAAAGAGAAGTTTGATTTTTTTTTTACCTTTGTTTCCTTTGCTTAAATCTGTGACTTCTTGTTCTTGAAGTTGCAGGCTTCAAGAAATTTACTCTTATTATTTTGCATGTAGTAATTGTATCACCAATTTCTGTGGGGAGCCCCGTCGGGTCCTTGAGGGTATCCAAACTGATGTGTGCTATATTAGTTTGGGGTCATAAGTCACAGGGGGTTCTTATGCCTACCAGGAACCACGAGCCAGAACCACATCCCCTCAGTGAGGCGCAGGGAACAATGCCCTATGAGCACTTTACATTAAAGTACGTCATAATTGCCATCGGCCAGGGAAGTCGATGTCATAATTGCCATAAGATCCAGAAAGGTAGGCGAATCAAAACAGGCCACTTTCTTGTTAACCTGTGCAATTTAGATCCCAAAAGATATAAATAACTCACCTTGAAAGAAACCAAACAACCCCTCATGCGACTAGCACTTCCGCCCGTTGCCTCACCTTTCCATCGGGGGGTCTAGGCCTTTCTGTCTTGCCCTAAATAGGGAAGTTTTATTGGATGGGTGGGGCAGCTAGCATTACTTCAATGCAGCAGTCAGTGTTTCTGTCTGACTGCCAGATTATTTGTTGTGTGTCTTCAGGGGTTTTTGTTCTCATTTTCTTTTCATTCTCTGGCATTCTCATCTTGTTTAGACAGAGGTGGTCTGCATAGCTTCTTATTAGGCAAGCCTAGATTGTGTTGGTACTCCTTCTTTGTTGCCCCCCGAGGTTTCATAGCTGCTACTGGTGGTCAGTTTGCCTGCTACCTGACAGGGGTTCTACTGGCTTAGCTGGTCCCAGTCCCCACTTCTCTCCAGAGAGGTATGAACTGTTATGCTGCTTCTTTGCATTTGTGTTTATATTATAAAATATGTTATCAGTTGTGCAATTGTACTTACCATTGAAGTTCTTTCTTATTTGGTTTTCAAATCTGTGAGAACTCTGTAGTATTTTTCTACTGTAGTAACTTTTCTGTAGGTAATATTTTGAAATATATTTTCAGAAAGTGTGGATATGTCAGTGGAATACAATACTGTACATACTGTAGTCTTTTTAGGATTTGTAGTTATTCTTCCACGAGGTTTCTTATTGTTTGTCCTGTAATTTTTATTCTTATGCAGGGTTCATGTTCCATGTGACAAGCTCGTATCTTCATGTGATGTATTGGATCAAATCTGGTCTTTAGTTTCTTGGACAGTATTTTATTGTTGAGAGACTGACATGTATTCTATTTTGTGTAGAATAAGTTTTGAGGTCTTTTGCATTGTCAGGTACCATTTCTGCAGTGTAATGATTTGTTAAACCCTTGTATACATAGAGAGATGGCCAGATTATTAACTTGGGGTGTATAATGTATTGGCAATTTTGTTTGCTGAAGTTCATGCATGTTGCTGCTTGATGCAGCTTTGACTTCTAACTACCTAAATTAAACCCTTATTAGTTGTTCAGGTATCCAGTATTTAATTATTTATTCAAATAATTTCAATTGACTCACATTTATAATATATACTTTAAAACTGTCATTTAATTGTTACCTTAATTTCTGTGTTTTTTGGTGGTATTATATATAAATATGATACTATTGTATATGAATATTTGTGTCCAAATACATAGTTCTCTCCTTAAACTTGCAGGTGTGTGGTGGTGAGGAGGCAACTATTAGCACTCCCACAAACAGTACCAGCGTTACCACAAACACTGCCAGTAACCTTTTAGGTTCACAGCTTGTGGAAGTTATTGCTCTAGTCTTAGGCAATGAGGAGGATGAAGATGGTCATTTAGTAGCTTTGCAGATGGTGGATGATCTCCTCAGCAAGGCTGCGCCATTGCTGTTAGAACATTGTGCACGTTTGGGTGTTATCAGTAAAGTGGGAACGCTGGCTGGCCCATCAGACCCACCCATTGAAGAATATACTCCAATAAAAGGGAAAGAAGAACAGGTATGTGATGCCAGGCTGTGAATGCTAGTGTGTTTATGCAGTGTAATCTTATCAGCCTATCAAGTGGGCAGGAGGTTAGGAGTTAGTACTACAGTATATGGAGTTGTGCACATATACATATGCACGCATGCTCACACACGATCACATACATGCATTACCACACTATGCTGCAGAACTCTTTCACTCCCCTTCCTCCTCCCTCACCTTTCTCTTTCCTATCTATTTCCTCTATCTCCTTTCTCTTCCCCCTCTCTCTCCTCGTTTTTCCTATCTATTTCCTATCTACCCTCATTTTCCCCTCTGTCAAAATAGATTGAAGTTTTAATTAATGAAACGTTCATTAAATTTAAATGTTCATGTATGATTTTGCAGGATGGGGAGGACCCAGGTATGGAAGATGCTAACGAAGTTGTCCCCGGTAAGGCGTACCACTGGCGGGACTGGTGTGTAGCACGGGGTCGGGATTGTCTCTACATATGGAGCGATGCTGCTGCTTTGGAGCTGTCCAATGGTTCCAATGGCTGGTTTCGCTTTATTCTAGACGGAAAGCTGGCAACCATGTATTCCTCAGGAAGTCCCGAAGGAGGATCAGAAAGTACAGGTACTGGGATAAAGTAATTTTGTGAAATACTGTATGATGTACTCCCACTTCAATAGAAGTGTACAAGACCCCTTATGCTGTAACAGAGGGTTCATAATGTTATATGACTGGTGTGCACAGGTGAAATTGGGGGCTCATATTGGGGCAACAGACTAGCAGTTTCTTGGAAGGGGAAAGTGGAACAATATATTTAAGAAATGGTAGGGGATGGGATGGGAGAGCTTGAAAACATGAAAGGTGTGAGAACATAAGAGCCTCTTGGAGAAACCTTGGCTGTAGCCACCCCCTAATAGGGAGCTTCCAGGAGGATATATTAGATATATTAGACTTTGGCATGAGTCAATGTGAATGGAGTTCTAGGCCTACTGGGGACCCCGAGCAAGAACCTGGCCCCCTCAGAGAGGCACGACGAGCAATGGCCTATAGAAATGCCCATGTGGTTATGGAGCATTATGTCTGCCATCGACCAGGTCAGGCACCCAGAAAGGTAAGCATCCTAAAACTTACCCATATTCTGGTTTAAACTACTACTGAAAGTCAAACGAGTGGACAGAATCCCCTAAATGAAGATGAGCAAATGAGCATAATGTCACCACGTTGCTTGTCTTTGCAACCCCCACCCTCCCCAGTGGGGGGTAAGGGGGAGCCCCAGACCCTCATGACAGCGATCCTCCCTGCAGTTCTTCTGGTGATGTGAATGGCATAGGTCGAGTGACTCTGGCTCCCGATTTCTGTCCTCTGCTCTGTGCCTTGTGGTGTGGTGCAAGTCGTCTTTGGTGGTGCGCGAGCTAGGAGTAATCTCTCAAATACTCGGGTTGCATGCACATAAGGTTACCTTCCCTAGGTGCCCTGTAAGTACTACCCTTGGGGCCACCTTCCACAAGTCACCTTGGGATCTACCTCTAATTGGTCTTTTGCTGCTCGGTGATTGACCACCCTTAGTGTGCTGGGCTGTTTTCTGCACCATTGTTTGTCTTTAGGAACGGGTATTTTGCACTGGTATTTTGTTGTCCGGTTGCGACTCCGCCGTTATTTTTGCGCCTCGGTTTCGGTGTCCGGAGACGTGGTTTGGGTTGCCCAGTTTCCCTTTCTCCTTGTTCCTGGGTTTGGGTTTCCCGGGTTGTTTGCCGAGTTCTTCAGTGCTGTTGGTTGTCTAGCCTTTGATTTGAATTGCTCGTGGTGAACGCCTCCCGGGTGCGTCCTTCTTTTTCCTTATCTTTGGTGAAGTAGCTCTGGGGAGCCAAAGGTGCTCTCCCCCCCCCCCCCCCCCAGAAAACCAGCGTTGAATGTAATGAAACGCCATTTGCTGGGTGAGACCCAGAGGCTTCCCGGCAACTCTCCCTCCGGTCGGCAGTTTTTCGAGTGTTTTGACATCCAGCCTCAGAACTGCAGGGTGGATGGCTGGCATGAGAGTCTGGGGCTCCCCCCTCTTGGGGAGAGTGGGTTGTGCAGACAAATGGCACGGCAACATGATAACGTCATGCTCGTTTGCTCACTTCCATTTTGGGAGTTCTGTTCATTCATTTGACTTCCAGTGGTAGTTTCAACCAGATTGTTGTTGTTATAGATTCAGCTACTCGGAACAAGTTCCAAGTAGCACGGGCTATGGTGAGCCCGTAGTGGACTTGCCTGGCACAGGAGCAGTGCTGTGTGTATTCAACCAGAATAGGGGTTTGTTTTGGGATGCTTACCTTTCTGGGTGCCTGACCTGGTCAATGGCAAACATAGAATGCTCCATAATCACATGGGCATTTCTATAGGCCATTGCTCCTCATGCCTCTCTGAAGAGGCCAGGTTCTGGCTTGAGGTCCCTGGTAGGCCTAGAACTCCATTCACATTGACTGATGCCAAAGTCTAATATATCCATATCAACCTGGATAGCTCCGGGGAGTCTCGGGGGGCCTCCCAGAAAATGGTGTTACATTACATTCAACGCTGGTTATTTTAAGCCTCTTTTCTCATAAAACACCATTGCATAAAATAGTTTTTTGAAATGTACTGAAAGGCTTTCAAATGCCTAGCAAGTTTTCCTTAGATATTAATGGTTCTTGTTTTAATTTAATTTACCCTCATTAAACAGATATGATCTTTATTTTCCTTGTCCTTCTGGGCAGTAAATGTATTTTGTATTGCAGACGATGAGTCACAATAACTTGGCTGAAATATGTTGACCAAACCACACACTAGAAAGTGAAGGGACGACAATGTTTCGGTCTGTCCTGGACCATTCTCAAGTCAATTGTGGGTTGTGCAGTCGACTTGAGAACGGTTCAGGACAGACAGAAACGTCATCGTCCCTTCACTTTCTAGTGTGTGGTTTGGTCAACAAATTTTGTATTGTATTTCAAGATTCTGTAAAAATTGTCCTAAGATATTTATGGTAAGGTTCATTATTTAATTATCTTTGACCTAACTGTGTTCTTTGCTGGAATTTGTCATAATCAAATTAGGACTGAATTTTGATTTAATGTACTTTTAACATAACATTCCTTTCATAAGCAGAGAACCGCAGTGAATTCTTGGAAAAGCTCCAACGAGCTAAGTCAGCAGTACGGCCAGGAAGTCCAAGTCAGCCGGTCTTATCTTCGCCAGGACCTGCACGCTTAGTCATTGGAAACTGGTCACTTCAGTGCAAAAAAGTTTGTATAATTGAAAATATGGTTATTTTATAATTATACAACTCCAAAATTCTTTACTACTTTTTAGTAATATTTTTTACCTTTAAAGATTTGAAAATATTTCTGAGGGGAGCCCCTTCTGCTTCCCGGAGCTTATCCAGGCTGATATGCTAATGTCAAACTTTGGCATCAGTCATGTGTATGGAGTTCTATGGGCCTTCCGGGGACCACGAGCCAGAACCTGGCCCCCTCAGAGAGGCAAGGGAAGAAATGGCCTATAGAAACCCCCGTGTGGTTGGAAGCATTCTATGTCTGCCATCGACTGGGTCAGGCACCCAGTAAGGTAAGCGTCCCAAAACAAACCATTATTCTGTTGAAAATTGCTACCACAAGCCAAACAAGTAGATAGAACTCCCCTAAAAGAAACGAGCAAACAATCATGACGTCACACATCGCCGCGCCGCTGTCTGCTGAGCAGGGGGGGGGGGGTTCTGTTCGGAAGACGTTCCATCTCCTTTGCCGGCTTGGGTTTCTGGCTCTGCATGCTTGGTGGTTGCACCCGAGATCTTCCCGCAGCTCTGCCTCTTCTTAGGCTCGAATGAACCTTGACGGGGCTGGTTAGGTTCTGCCTCAAGTCTCTCACCTTCAGTTGGAGGTCAGGTGGCATCGTTGTTGGTGTCCCACCTGTGTGCTTCTTCTTTGTGGCAGTATGGTTTTTTTTGGTGGTCCTTCCTTTTCCTTCTGTTCCTTCTTAGGTGGCTGCGTTTATTGGCGTCGATTTTTTTTTTTCTGGTGGAGGTTTGGGGCTGTCATCTTGCCACATACTGTCGCCTCGTTTAGTGTGGTGCTGGCGGAGCCGCTTCAGCTTGCTTTTGGTTTTGATGTTACATCTGCACCGTTTCGTAAGCTGTCTCGTGCGGTGTTTCACCTCCGACAGTGTGCTCTTTTTTTTTCTTCTCTTCGGTTTGTTGTGGCCCCTTCGGTTCATGTTTGTTTCTCGAAGGCTCTTTTCCTGTTGGCATTTGCCTCTAGGGGTTGGGTCAGTGAGCTTCCTGCTCTCCTCCAGTGCAGGCGTTTCTGCTCCTTCGGTCGTGGCGATAAGTTTGTTTGGTTGCAGCCATTTCCCTCTTTTCTGGCACAGAATGAGACTGCTGTTTTTTTTTGGGGGGGGGGGGGGTGTCCTTGGTTGTTGGTGCTTGGTTGGTTGGGCCGGAGGTGCATCGTGTTTTGTGTCTGGTTGCGGCCCTCCGCTGTTATTTGTGCGCCACGGCTGATCCAGTTCCCTTCTTCCCTATTTGCGGGTGAGGGTCTCCCAAGTCCTCCGCCGTGTTAATGAAGCTAGCCAGCCTGCGTTCTATCCCCATGTCCATGACGCTCGTAGATTTGCTGCTTTGCTGCCGTCTTGGCGGCATGTCCTGGCTGGCATTCGGGTACGGGGTCTTTGGCGGTCATTCAGGGATCTGGCTGCTCGATATCTTGTGGTCGTTCTGGGGCCTATTCGGGCCTTTGTCACTTTGGGTTTGTGGTTGCAGCCAGTTGTCTTGACTTTCAGTTGGGGAGGGTGTGGCGACCACCTCCCGGATACATTCCTCTTATTTCCTCTGTGTGTAGTTAGCTCCGGGGAGCCGAAGGGGCTCCCCCCAGAAAACCAGCGTTGAATGTAATGAAACGCCATTTTCTGGGTGAGACCCTGAGGCTCCCCGGCATCCCTCCCTCCCTAGCATCCCTACCTCCCTCCGGTTGGCAGTTTTTCGCATTTTTTGACATCCAGCCTAAGAACTAATAGTGGATAGCCGGTGCGGTAGGTCTGGGGCTCCCCCTTCCCCCTCCTGGGGAGGGGGGGAACTGCGCAGACAGCGGCACGGTGATGTGTGATGTCATGATTGTTTGCTCGTTTCTTTTAGGGGAGTTCTAGCCACTTATTCGGCTTGTGGTAGCAATTTTCACCAGAATAGGGGTTTGTTTTGGAACACTTACCTTTCTGGGCTCCTGACTCAGTCGATGACAGACATAGAATGCGTCCAACCACACAGGGGTTTCTATAGGCCATTGCTTCCCTTGCCTCTCTGAGGGGGCCAGGTTCTGGCTCGTGGTCCCCGGTAGCCCCAAAGAACTCCATACACATTACTGATGCCAAAGTCTGACATTAGCATATCAGTCTGGATAATCTCCGGGAAACCTTTGGGTCTCATGCAGATCAAGGCGTTTCATTAAATTTAACGCTGGTTTTTTGTTGTAATATATGGAAGCATGCCTTTTTATTGTACAGGAAGGTGAGCTGCACATTCACAACTCAGATGGACAACAGCAAGCTACCATCCTGAGGGAGGACCTCCCAGGATTCATCTTTGAGAGTAATCGCAACACGAAACATTCTTTTACTGCCGAGACCTCCTTAGGGCCTGAATTCCATGCGGGATGGACTGGACGACGGGGAAAGAGGTTCAGATCCAAAGTTGAGGCAATGAAGCAGAAGGTAGTAGTACTTTTCTTATTTTTCTTGTAAACAACAGTGATAATTTAGAAATACATTTAGGCAAAATTGAGTTTAAAATGAGGATAAATTATCATTTCAAGTTGCAGTAAATATTTTTAGTATTTTAATTTATTCATATTTTTTCTCAAGTCTTAAGTAGGCATTTTGAAAATGTATAGGAATTTATACCTTTGCAAAAAGCTATAGACCTTTTGCAGTAACATCACATATACTTAATCTTTGAAACGAGACAACCTTGGACAACATGGGTTTAGAGCAGGAAGATCCTTTTGTTTTAACAATTCCTCAACCACTGTGACAAAATCACCAAAGTATTAGAAAACCAACATGCAGATTTTGTATACAGTATATGAACTTTCCAAAGGTATTTGATAAACGTGATCATGAAGTGATAGCCCATAAAATGAGGTCCAAAGGAATAACAGGTAAAGTTTACTTTGAAATTTCATGTCAAATAGAATACAAAAGAGGAAGAGTCAACCAAACAGAATTAGGGCCAAGCACATTGAAAAGCTCTGTACTCCAAGGCAATATCTTGCACTACTATTTTCTCATCCAAATAATGTCAAATATAGAAAAAAATGACTCGTAGCATCATTTCATCTTTTGCCCTATAAAAAATTGAGCAGGAAATTACCTTGTTAAAAGATACTGAAAACCAACAACCATGGCTTAAAGGGGGCATTAGTGCCAAATATGCAATAAATGAAAACTAGTTCGATTTCAATCAAATTTTTTTGACGGATTGTATATGAAAAGGGTTTCATCTGGTCCAAGTCTCAGCATTGTAGCATAAATAGGAAGGTAGAAAAAAATATTGAATTATGTGTCAAAAATTTTCCAAAATGGTCAAAAATTAACATCAAACACAAGTGTCAACTGAAATCATGTCTATGACTCGGCTATCACAATAGCATATAATAAAAATATTTAATAATCAGTTTTGTCCCAAAAAAATTTAGTTAAAATTTTAAATTTTTTTATGTTTATCAGATGATTTGCATGAAACTTATACACCTGACTGCACGTAAGCCTATCCATAAGGGTGCCAAGGGTGCCAGGAAATTGGTTGATGTCAATCTCGGCCACAGATGGCAGCACCTGAAACTTTATTTTTTACTTATTTATTTTCAAGTAACATAAACGTTCCTATAACTTTCAGTTTTTATTCAATTTACATCAAACTTACACCTTATATGTAGAGTTTGTTTCTTCAAATCTGCTTCAAGCTTTTTTTCCTAAGTTCATTTATTGATTTTATAATACAGTAGTAATAAACCATGATATATTTGCATAATTTTTTATAGAACTTTGACTATTTGTATTAGTAAAACTAAACATATTTTAAAAAATCCACTGTAACATATCCACGCACAAGTCCAGCATGCTGGACTTGTGATCCTGTGGTCCTGGGTTCAATCCCAGGCGCTGGCGAGAAACAATGGGCAGAGTTTCTTTCACCCTATGCCCCTGTTACCTAGTAGTAAAATAGGTACCTGGGTGTTAGTCAGCTGTCACAGGCTGCTTCCTGGGGGTGGAGGCCTGGTTGAGGATCGGGCCGCGGGGACACTAAAAAGCCCCGAAATCATCTCAAGATAACCTCAAGATAAGATATCCTTTTATTATATGCTAATGTGAATGAAAAGTGTCATAGAAATGATTTCATTTGAAACTTGTAATTGTAATTTCAATTTGAAAATGTGTAAAATTTGTTGAAAAAAATCTCCCTTCCTATTTATGCTGTGATGCCGAGACTTGGACCAGATGAAACCCTTTTCATATACAACTCGTCCAAAAAGTTTGATTGAAATTTGAACTAGTTGGCATATTTGGTGCTAATGTATCAGGTAGGAAAATGAGTTGGTGGAATATTAGAAGCTTGAAATGCAGAGATTCAACCACAGTGCCCCTACTTTGCAAGGCACTTGAAAAGTGGCCTTGCAAAGTTGGCCTTGCACTCTGGCCTTGAAAATGGCTTGGTACTCACTTTTCGTTCCAAAGCAGGAAAGATGTCTAAAATAGAAGGATTTCACAGAATATGTACTGTGTACACAGATTACACTGACAGGATTTGTTTAGCTAAAGCCAGTGTTCTGTTAATTGTTTTCAGGTGTTATCTTGAGTGTGCCTGTTAATATTGACTTATAATATGCAACACCTGTGTATAATAGTAAGAGGAAGCTTCCTCTTGAAATTGGGAGTAAGGTCCCTAGTGGTTGTTTTGTGAAACCATGCAAATTTGCCACGCTGGAGGCATCTCGCCACCAGTTGTTAATTGTTAGTCATTTCCACCACCAAGTGTTACATCAATTAAAACTAAATTAAAATTAAATTAAACAATTGGAATTTGTCTAAAATGGAACCAGATCCTTTGGAAAGCCAGATGTGTTGGAAATGACTTGGTTGAGTTAGGCAACAGGAAGAATTGAAGGGCAGGAAATATTAAGGCTCTGCCAACACCTCAAAGAAATGATGGACAGATCATAAACCCAATAGTACCAGGGCTTCAAACACTTCAAACTAGCACCAATGCAAATACTCTAACCTCATTTCTATTTGAAAACAAAAGTATCAAATTTTACATCGGGAGATTTCTTTGGTAGCTATTAGTCTTCAACAATCATTATCAGAGTTGAGAATCCTGAAATGAAGCTGAATCAAATAGTCAGAGTACCTCAAAATGACTATTCACTATGCTGTGGAAGTAAAGTAGTTATCATGAGAAAGCACTAAGCCATATTATGACTATATACTATGCTGTGAAGTGCACATTATATTAAGCTCCCTGTGCTGATAGGCTTTAAAAATATCCAGTCAACTAAATTAAACAGTCCACTGCAGGATAGAGTACTTTGTGATATGGATGCCAGACACAAAGTTAGGATTGCCATCTCCAACTCTGTTGAAAGAGTCCTAATACATGGTGGCAGTTGGTGTAGTCAGTAGTTGGTTACTTATACATGTTCAGAGCAATCATTGCTGACTTTGTGGTCTCATTTATAATTTCAAAGGTGTGTTGAATGGTTTGGCCTGGTCTTCAGTGTCATAGCAAGTAGTTTTTCTTGGTAGGTGGATTGAGGTTTGCTCTCCACTGTCTCCTCACCTTAGAATTATTGGATAAGAATATTTAAAGTTATTTTTCTTGTGGAGCTCAATGTTGACCAAAGCTTGGGGTGCAATTGAGGATGCCATGCATAGAAAATTATTTGACTGATTACCTTTTCTGAATAATTTTATTTAAATCAATATATATGAATGTGCTCATAATGCAAGTGAAATTCCGTTTAGTGTCGGTGAAATATTTCTTTAGTATTGTCTGTTTTGAGTTGCATAGTTGTATTCTAATAATTTATTCTCTCTCAGGTGAAAAGTTTAGCTCGTGATGTATATGATAAATACTTCAAAGCTGCACAGACTCAACCGCGAGGAGTCGTAGCTAAACTTGGCAATATTGTTGCACAAATTGAAAGAGCATGTCAGAAGCAGGTAAGATATTTATATCAGTTCTTTAAGAGTGTTTGTCTTGTTAAGGAGTTTTCTTAGCATAACTAAATATTGTTGAAGGAGTCACTGTTTAAAATTATTCAATTAACGCTTGTAATATGATTTTTGTTTTAAAGCCTGGCCCATCCACCTTTTGTTATACCCAAAACTCTCTTATGATGAAGTTCCCATATAATATATTTTGGGAGTCTGCACCCTCTGGATTCAGGACTTCTTTCTAACAGGACTGAAATTTCTAGTCGAGATTTGGTGGATGAATTTTGTTTGGTGTTAAAGGGGTCCGTTGTGTAGGTCTGGATATATAAGTGTGCAGTGTTTTGGTGGTTATTTTTGAGGAGTTTGGCCAGTTTCTACCAGAAGAGCTTGATCAGTCAGGCTGTAAGAATGTGTGAGATTGGTAGCCACTGCAAGCAATGGCTTGACTGATCAAGTTATTACCAGGCCTCTGGCTGGACTGCCAAAATAGAACTCTTGAATCTGACTACAGTAATTTATTGATGATTTTGTGCCCTAATTGGTCAAGATAGAAGTCTGATTCATTTAGGTCAGTGCTCATCTGGGGATATATATGCCCAAATTTCTAGTCTGCCATTTTAAGAGATTTATGATTGTGTGTTTACATGTGAGGTCACATTTTGTTCAGAGGAAGGTGCCTTCCTCTTGCAGGTGAAACTGCTCTGCCTTTGTGTGTAAACATTCCTGAATGTTGAATTATGTTTGAATGTTAGCTAGGATTAAGTAGACCTTGCATTAGGTCTGCAAGGTATACTTTGATTGCTTTTACATACTAAGTTATGTTGGTCAAGGAAGCTATCCAAGTGTCTTGTTGTTTTTGGGATAATTTCTCTGATTTGGATGTAGATTAATTCAAGACTGATGAATTTGGAACTGATGGCTGTTTATTGTTGTTGTTGAGATTCTCTTGCTTGTATTTGCTGTTGGTGTGTTGTGTTGCATGTCTAAGTTTAGTGGATTTACGCCATACTTTGGTTGGCGTTTCCTTGATTGTAGATTATGCATGCAACGAAAATTTTGGAAAGTTGTTCCAGTACCTGTTCTATTGCCTTCTATGTGTCAGTTATGAGTGTGGGGATGAATTTTGCATTGGGTTTAGTGAGATGAAGGTTCTGTGGGAATGGATTCCTGACTGGGGTAATGAGGCAGTTGGTTTAGGAGTCACTTGGTGTATGTGGAGTTTATTGTGGAATGGTTTGGATTGTTGTGGGGGCTTGGGATTGGGGAGGATTTGTTGGATTGTTTCATTGCATTACTGTTTGTGCTTGTGATTGTGTTGTTGCTACAACACAACATCATGTTGTGTTGACATGTTTAATTTTTATCATTGTAACTTTGACAGTTTGGACATTTAAAGGGTTAAAGGTGCTATCTTTTTTGTAGTTGAAGTATGAACAATATATATCTTTCTAGCAGCCTTTTAAGGTATGATTACATTGTAATTTGTTTGGGTGTGGTATATTCTACCCAGCAGGTGTATTCTCCCTAGATTCAGACCTGGTTTGGTGGAGGTTTGTCTGGGAAGATAATTCAGACGTTGCTTTCATTAATTAGTTGTCCCTATAATCTACACTGAAATTTTGTTTACTTGGTAATTGAGGAGTCCATCTTAAAGTTCTCTTTAGAGTTCTTCTTTGGTGATAGCTATGACATGTTGAATGATACCCTTGGTAAAACTAGTTGTTCATGTCATTTTACTTTGTATTAGAATTTCTGTAATGTGAGAATATTAGATGCAGATTCATCATAGCTTCTTGGCATCATAGTTCTACATGTTGTACTTGGAATTTTATATTCATTTCTTTATTTTCTGTGGTTTGCTAAAGGATTGGTGATAATTCTGGCTATCTTGTGTTTATCTATTAATATTGTTCCTGTGATGTAGAATACATGTTGCGAAGTATCTTCATAATTTAATCAAATGTTACTCGAATTTATTGTTAATGATATAGGTAATGATTGTTTTATTTATTTAACAGATAAGCAATAAGGGTGGAGGAGAATGGCCTGAAATTTTACGAGCAGCTGTTGAGGATTTGGTAACCCTCCTACGTGATGAGAGCACGGTGTCTGCCTATGAACTTCATTCTTCAGGCCTTGTGCAAGCCCTTCTAACACTTCTTAGTCCAGACACGGCCCATCATCTTCCAGATGATAATAACAGGCAGTTTTCACAAAGACGGGTAACCAAGATGATCAAACAGCGACGGAATGTTTTCAAATGTTGCTTTATGGTAAGTGTACAATATTATGTTTTATCATGCTTGGTTCTGTGTAATTGCCTATATTTATCATACAACTCTGAAATTGCTGATGGTTTTGGTATCTACTGCCTTCTCACTAATATTGTTCCAGCTGACTACAACTGTTTGCAAAAGAAAACATTTGTACAGTATATTTTTCTGCACCATTGTTTTCCTAATTTGAGACTTTGGTTTCATTATTTTTGAACTTGAAGGTTTCAAAATTTTTTCTTTTGTCAACTGTGTATTCCTGTCACTGCTTTGAATGTGGTGATATCTCTCTCTCTTTTTTTCTCCTATTTTTTAGGTTTAGCACATTTAACACCTCTAGCCTCTTGGTATTTTTTGTTTTTCAGTTCTGATCATCATTTTTGTAGAATGTCTTTGCACCCTTTCTAGTTTATTTTTGTAATATTTAAGATTTTGGCACCATTCAACTGCTGAATATTCCAATATTGGTCTCATAAATGTTGCGAACAATTTCTTCAGTTTGCAGACGATGAGTCACAGTAACGTGGCTGAAGAAATGATGATCAAACCACAACTCAGAAGATGGAGAAGCAATGACTCTTCAGTCCATCCTGGAACATTATCAAGTCAAGGACCACATCTTTGATAATGGTCCAGGACGGACTGAAACGTCATTGCTTCTCCATCTTCTGAATTGTTGTTTGGTCATAATTTTCTTCAGTATTTACCAATCTATGTATTTAAAAGCAATAATTCTAAAGTTTGTAAGATTAGCACAGGCTCCTCTCACCAAGCCCTTTGTGGTTGTGTGGTCACAGCTTACCATCCAGAATTGCCTTCCCCCCAAATCCCTTTATTAGTCTTGAATTCTTTAACATCTTTTAACATACTGTTTATTCTTAGTAATTTGAATCATATGGGGCCCCACCCCTCATTCAAGTTAGCAGACTTTTACATCAGTTTATCCACTGATGCATAGCCTAGAGCAATGCTATAGTGGTTAGCATGGACATGGTTAGGTCTTGCCTGGGCTTCGTGGTTGGCATCACTTTCCCTGCCTCCGTTTGCCTTGTTCCACTTATAGCACCATCTCCATGTAGTGTTTTACCTGCCCAAAATGACCCAGCAGTTGATGGAATGGATATCCAATTTGGCCAGCATTGTCTTACCTTTTGGCAGAGCTTGGCTTAGGGCTTTGTACTCGTTCCTCTTGTTCAAACCAATTTGCCTCTGCCTCTGTTGGGTTTGGGCCCTGGCTGCCCTTCTCTGGTTGCTACTTTGCTGGCTTCCTCTTCAGCCTATTCGGAGGTTCAGTCCCATGGTGCTTTCCAGCTCTGTTGTTTGATGTCTTTATGGATGTATTAGCCCTGGGTTGGGGTTTTGTGACCAGCATTCATCAGGATTCCCAGAGTCAGTGGTTGGGTCCTTTGCTTTGCACACATAGTATGGTGTGCAAGTTCACAGTTGTGTGGCAAGCATTATGGAGGATTTGGTGCCCTCTGGGCATCATGATCCGGCTCCACTGCTGGACCCGGATCAAGGACTGAACCACCAGGAACGTGTGTACAGTGCAGGGGATTAAAGAAGTAAGCACTTTCTCTCTGAACAACATTTCTGGCATAAGTTGGCAATGAAAAACACCTTGAGAACAGCTAACCTGAGTGAAATTGTTTTTTAAAATATTTTTCAACTATTTTCCTATGCTATTTTGGGATCAAAATGTATGAAGATGTGTATTTTATTATTAAGTTATTGGTTATTGTTATTATTCCTGTATAATCAACCCAAAAGAACTAGAAACTAAAAGTTCTCCATGCACTGGCACACTCCATCAAACAGATTCTGTCCTGCCACAGTTTATCCATTAGAGGGAGGAACTTGTGTACATTGGAACCAAGTTGCTGAATATCTGAGGCAGTTGATGTTGTCAAGAAAGGAATGAATTTACATGATTGATTTTTATTTAACAGGATAAGGTAGATGAAGAAAGTGCTACCATCAGCTCATCAGTCAGCCCTGGTACCCAGCTAGTTAGAAAATTAGTATCTGTGCTAGAGAGTGCAGAGAAACTTCCTTTGTATATATATGATGTACCTGGAGCTGGATCAGGCTTGCAAGTTTTAAGCAGACGTCTACGGTTTAGATTGGAAAGGGCTGCAGGTGAAAGCTCTCTTATTGATAGAAATGGGAGAACTCTAAAGGTAAGACCTCACTTGTTGTCTAATCTTCATCATGACTGTTATTTTCCATCCTACAATGGTTTGAATAGTTTTAGAAATAATCAACACTGATAAAGAAGAACAGTGCAGTGCAACCTTGATTCAACAAACTACTGTATATGGGACAGACACCAATTTGTGGCAATGAGGGATTTGTTGCAACCAGAGATGCCTCCAGGAGGCCCACATTTGTCAATGAAAACCAGGAAATCTCAAAATGAAAATGAACCATAGAATTTGGTTATAAATGTGCTCAGTTGCTTTCCCAAGGTCCCGACTCTTTCTTCTAAAATTGCATCCATTTACAATTTTTGTTTAAAATGTGATTAGAGTCATATTAACACTTACATTCATACTCTAATATTTCTCACTCTATTGGCTGATTTCACAGAGCAAAATTTTAATTTCAACCTATCATATGAAGGACAGGTACCAAGAAGCCCTTTTTGTAAAGAGATAAAACCACTTCTAACATATTTCCCACACCCTTCCCTTGAAATCTCACTTTAAAGGGAAGAAAGGTCCATATTTTCCTGAATGAAAACCTAAGCAAATACAAAAGAACCACAGAATTTGGTTTTAAATATGCTCAATGGCTTTTCCAAGGTGATTGAAACCGTATTATGAGTGGTATAATTTCCCTCATATTTCTCGTGCTCTGAGCTGATTTCACTAAGGGAATCTTTAATTTTAGCCTATGATATGTTGGGCAACTTTTCCACCAGTCAGTCAGTCTGTCCCAACATCCTAAGCAAATCCGCACATCCACCTCTTCAACGAACTAGTGCTCATTGAATCAGGTGAGTAAATCTGACCTTGAAAGTGTGTGCCAACTAGACATTCGCTGAATCGATGTTTCTTGAATCGAGGTTCCATTGTAATGAAGTAAAAGATGGACAAAATGAAGAGATAAATGATAAAATTATACATTCATGTTTTAATTTATACTTCATGTCTTGTATAATAGTTGATATTAAATTGTTCTGTTATAGATGGAACCCCTGGCAACTGTGGAACAATTAGAGAGATATCTGTTGAAAATGGTGGCCAAGCAGTGGTATGACTTTGACCGCACTTCTTTTGCCTTTGTTCGCAAATTGAAGGAAGGACACAAAATTGTCTTCAAGAACAGCAGAGAATTTGATGAAAATGGCATAATCTATTGGATTGGAACAAATGCCAAGTAAGAACATACTTATTTAAAAGTTTTGCAAATTTTTTTATTTAAAAGAACCTTAAGAATGGATTAAGCAAGAAGGGGTAGAGATATGTATTGTGAGATCCAATTGGAAGGACAATTATTGAGTTCAGGTTGGTGAGATTATTAAATAACAAGGCAATAATTATGGTCATAAAGTCTATCAGTAGTTTTCTGGAGGTGCTGAGCGGCAGCACCCTAAAGCTAGATGCACTGAGATAATGCCCTGAGAGAGTTATTGGAGTTGTACTCCCCAAATTCTTCAGACTGTTTCAAAGAAAACAAGTTGAACATAGTCTTTTTACATCTTAAACCAATGATTCATAATATAAAAAAGTTTTAACTTGAGAATATTTTATTTTTAGGTCAAATGTTCACTTGCCAGTTTACAAATAGACTATTATCAGAACCGTAATATGCTTTCAGACCATCACAAATATCAAGTTAACTATCCAGTTGGTGTGAGAATGGGTTTGGTGTCTTGTGGTAATCACTGCCCTGAGGTCGGGCTTGGTTGTTATGATCACCCTCACCAGGAAATGCCCAGAAAGTAAGCATAGCAAAATGGACAACTGCAAGGTTCACAGAGAAAGGAAACAAAGCAGCATATGACTGTAAATGATCCACCAGTAGTCAGATTGAATCTTACTAGTTACAGTTGCACACTGACAGATGTCAGCACAACTGGGAGCTGCTGGTTCTCCATGTCAACATATCTCAGTCCTTTGCCTAATTTCCAACAGCGTGGATCACTACTTGTGCAATACGGGTCTTAACTATTTCTAGATTATTGTTGACCATCATATAGACTCGGTCCTGTGAGAAGAGGCCCATTTGTTTGTGTATTGTGTCAAGAATGCATGTTTGCTTTACATGTATGTGTGTACAAGCTTCACTTCTTGTGTGGACGTGGTAACTTTTCACTTTGAGCTGCATCTCTGCAAATCAACCTGAAAGCTTGATTTGCTTTGAGCCTTGAAAGCTTGAAGGGAAGTCTGTCGTTCAGGTGTTCTTGGATGGCACTCCTTATTCTCCACTCGAGGACTACCTGTTTACTCTGGAGCTCCCTGACAACGTATATAATAAGGGCTTTCTGGAGCCCTTATTACGGAAGACTACTAGGCACCCAGGTTCACCCATTTTGTAGTTGTCGAGCATTATTAGGCTGTCGTGGAACTCTTTACAGCCAAGCTCCATGATGGCATTGATTCACTTGGTTTGGTTCTGGATGTGGAAGACTTGTTGTCTCCAAAATGGACTTAGGTGGACTTGCTGAAGTTGCTCGTTCCTCTCCTTTGGGAGTTAGTGGCAGCATTTTACTTGGCTCATCTTGTATGTCAACTTGTTATGCTGGTCCATGCTTTAGATTTGACCTAGTCCTTAACCACTGTGATGCGCAGAGTTATTGTGACATTCCTCCTGTGCGCATGAAATTAAGTGTTCCCAAAAATTCATTTTCTTTGCAAAATGATAAATTCCCTTCCCTGAACATGTCTATGTAAAAATAAATACCAAATTGCATTTACTCTGGCTGTGAGAACATGGACAAGGTGCGCTGTGACATCATCACGGGCTGGTCGCCCGTGTGTAAAGCTCCCAGACACGGTTGTCCGGGCCATTCAAGCACCGCAAGATGCCACAAATATATTTTCAATTATTTTCTCTTAAGTATTTCCAATGTGGTTTTATTTGTTTTTTTTATCGTATATGATGCATATTTGTGTGCTTTACAATATGTATACAGTAGAATGTCCATAATATTTCATGGAACTGTGAGACATGTCAGTAATGTGTCCAGAATAAATGTTTATTGTCACAATATTATTTGTTTAAAATTCACTAAAATTACAATATGTACAGTTTCACACACTATTTACACAGTAACACACTGTATTACACAGTACCTCGGATGTGAGTAATATTCAACAAAGTAGTCCATGGTACACTGCGCGACTTTGCTCTCAATGCACCAGGTACAGATAGATTTTCGCTTCCTGTTTCTTCATTCTGTGTTCTTGCAAATAATTCACTCACGTACACTCTTGGCTTTAGTACTACTGTAGGTGGTATGTAGCCAAGCTTGTAAAGCATATGGTAGTATTGAAAAAGATTATAGGAAAGAGTAAATTTGTAAGGTAGACTTAAAAAGATCACTTTGCAAGGTCCCACATTGGAAGAGATTCAGCCAACCACGAAGAGTGTCAGTCAATCCGAAAGAGATTCAGGCATTCTGGAAGAGATTCAGCCAACCACAAAGTGTCAGTCAATCTGGAAGAGATTCAGGCATTCTGGAAGAGATTCAGAGATTATTTCTAGAAAATATCTATGGAAAACACCACCATGGAAGCCGCTAACACTGTTCGTCTATGCTACTTTTATCAGCTGCATCATCACTGAACGCAGAAAATGATTCAACTATGTATCATCTATATAAATTGGAGATGGCATAGGTGGGCAAGGGTGGTGCTCAGAGCTACAACTAGATACGCTCGCTGTATCGTCCTCATAGGTGCTGTATCACTTGCATCCGACCTTTGTTAGGTCCTTATTGCGCCTAGCTTCATCAATATCATGACCTTTATGTTCTTCAAACAATAAGGTCTGAATTTCACCGACAGCGCGCGAATTTTCAACATTGCGTCAGACAGGTGATTGGGAGCCAGAGGCGCGTGCACCACCCATGGTTGCTCACTCGGTACTAACCCAGCCAGCAGCCCTAGGGCATTCTGGGAATTTTTTCCAAGGTTGCTGCCTCTCACTGGTGGTCCTAAGTCCATTTCGTACACAACCTACCGTGCACACATTTTGAATTGATACGAAAAAATAAAAAAAAATTTCTCAGTTGGCACAGTCCAGTGGTTAATCCTTATGTCTGCCTCCCCTTTTTTTTTACCTCTCCTCTTTCACCTCTCCTCTTTCCTAAGGATACTGTCGCTCAAGTTCTTTTGGCTGCTGCTGCCGCCGCCTGTCGTCCTATCAGTCAGATACTGTTTCAATTGGGGTTCTGCCCCTGGTCTACGGAGGTTGTCTAGTAGGGTTGAGGCCTCGCCTGTTGTTGGTTGGAGCTGGTCCTTGACAGTCAGATTATTGGGCTCTTGCACTTCCTTTAGTGGGTTGCCTCGTCTGCTGGCTATCACTTTTCTGCATCACAGGAGGATGGAACTGCTCGTAGTTCTTCGTTCCGGCCTTTTCATTGTTCGCTCCTTCGATGGCGTTTTGTGAGTGGTTTGTCAGCTCCTGGTTCCATGCAAGGTGAGCTTTTCAGGTCATCTTCCTCAGCCTTTGGTGTAGTTGGTCAGTCACTTTCCTGCTCCTGGGATTGGGGATATTGGGTCAGGAGTCCTAACCTCGCTTGTTTAAAGTCACTGCGATGTGTTTGAACTTGAGTGTGGTTGAAATGATTAGTCTCTTTGGTGGGTGTCCTTGTTGTTCCCAGTCCCCAAGTGGGATTCAGTGGATCTACTGTAAATCTTTGATCTTTCAAGCCTGAACAACTTCATTTCCAGTCTGATCTTCTGCATGATCACCTTGACTCTGGTTTGTCAAGTATTTGCCCACCTTCCCATGCAGGCTTATCGGGTTGTTGGTGAGTTGTTCTGATCAGCTCTAGAGCTGACCAGGGGAGCCAGCTGCTGGCAGGAGCTGGGCCACATGGTAGTGGCGATCAGCACTCATGACCTTTGAGCTAGTTTGACTAAACCCTTTGTTCTTTGTGTATTGGTCATGGAGTTCTCTGGCAGTTTTTAAAGCGTTGTTTTCTGTGAACCCTCCAGTTGCCTGTATAGTTTTGCTGACTTTGACTGCTTTTTCTAGTGGGGTGGTGAATTGACCTTTGCTTCCTGCACCTCTGAGGTGGCCAGTTTCTGGAGTTTTGCTGACTTTCTGACTGCTTTTTCTAGTGGGGTGGTGAATTGACCTTTGCTTCCTGCACCTCTGAGGTGGCCAGTTTCTGGCTTTGGTCCCCAGTAAGCCAAATAGAACTTCTGCGACTGATGTGACCTTTTAGCATGGGACAATCTCGGCAAAATTGCTTCAGGGAGTCACTGAGCCTCTACCAGAAATAGGGGTGTTTCATTACATTCAATGCCAAGGTTATGTTGCCAGCAGCCATCATGTTGGTTTAAAAAAATAGCTGCTGCTTGTTTATAGTTAAATAAACCTATATTTAAATATCAAAAATTTATGCTTAAAATATGCTTGCCTTTGAATAATATTGGGAAAAATTCCCTTATTTTCCATGAATATGAATATCATTAAAATTTGAATACAGTGTTTTAGAAATTCATAGTTTAATTTTTTTTTCTGGGGGGAGCCCCGTTGGTTCCCCGGAGCTTATTAGGCTGATATGCTAATGTCAGATGACACCCAGAAAATGGCGTTTCATTACATTCAACGCTGTTTTTTTTTTTTTACTGGCAGATGCCTAATTTATAAATTGAAGTAGTATTGCATTAATGTAAGTCCTTGGGAAAATGATCTAGCTTGTTAATTTTAATATTTTAGAACCGCTTATGAATGGGTGAATCCAGCATCTGTTGGACTTGTTGTGGTCACTTCTAGTGAGGGGCGTAACCTTCCTTATGGCCGATTAGAAGATATTTTAAGTCGTGATGCATCTGCCTTAAACTGTCATACCAATGATGACAAACGAGCATGGTTTGCCATTGATCTTGGTATATGGTTTGTGCCGTCTGCCTACACGTTAAGACACGCTCGGGGGTATGGACGATCTGCACTTAGAAATTGGATGTTCCAGGTGAGATTCTAATATGTTAGATACCATTATTGTATTTGTAGGACATATATTTTTAAAATCTAACTTCTTTTAGTATGCATTCATTGAAAGTTATCCTGATGTTGTTACTCATACTTTGGTGTTGTCTTTCACATAAGAGCTTGGCTTAAAGGAAATTCATGTGAATGTTAGTTAATGTAAATTATAATTTATGTGTGCGTGTTTCTAGATTTGTTGACTCGAATGTTTGGCCCTTGGCGCAGCTTCTGCGTGAAATCAAATAATAGCAATAAATTTTGTATCATCTTTACCTTTATATTTGTTTATGTACTGCTCTTATAAAAATTTGCATAAAATTAATTAAAATTTGAATATCTACTGAAGTTATTTTTTATTTGTTGCCATAGAAAATTTGAGGTTGTATTAAAAGTTAATGAATTGCTCTTATTGAATTAATTTCTATTAAATGAAGTAAATGTTTGTTAAATGAAAATCTTTATTCTAGGTTTCAAAGGATGGTATGACATGGACAACTCTCTATACCCACGTTGATGATTGTTCTCTAAATGAACCTGGCAGCACTCACACTTGGACCATACAGCCTCCACCAGAGGAAAAGGTGGGCTTTATTGAATACTCTCCTCGTGTAGTTAAGAGTGAAGCTCCGATGAACTTGAGAATTCTCTTATGATCGTGTTTATAACCCCTTAGTCAGTTTATTTTAACTTGTAGTGTTATTACCTGTATTATATGTGTGTGTGGGAATTGTATCCCAAAACTTGTACATTTAATAAACTTACTAATTTGGGTCGATTTAAAATTCGGCATCATTATTACCATTCACATATGGCCTTTTGTTGTTGTTGTTAAGAAGAAAGGTGATAGATCAAACTGACTAAGGGAATTCTGCTCAGTGCATGGGCTTATCTATCAGTGACTCATTTGCATTACCTACTTCCACTTGTCCTAACTCCAAAATAGATATCTGTCCATTTTTTCTACTATCCATATTATATCACCTTTTGTTCCTTAACTTTCAAGAGTTACTGAATGACTTGCATTCGGCAAAGTGTGAAGCTGCGGAAAAGAACCCAGGTTCTGACACCTTGCAAGAAACGCCTGAAACCAAGGCTGAGCCAACCACCAAGGAGCCAGAAAGACCACTCATACCCCCCCCCCCCTTCCTTGGTAGAACTCAAACAGCCAGACCGTTGGCGTGGCCTACCAAATATTCCAGACCAAATATTGAAAGTATTTGATGACTTGGCATTCACCTACTCCAATACTATAGTCAAACATTGACATTTCCCTTTTTTGCCTTTTCTGTGCCACACACTCCAGTTCTATTTTCAAGCAAGAACCTAGTTAGCAAGGGATTTGTGTAATAGTTGTCTGTGTATAAAATGTGGTCCCTTGTTCAGCCATGATGCCATCAGTGTCTTCACCACACTACCTGAGAAACCATGTTGATCATTACCAGGAATGTCTACATTGGTACCAGAATATAGTATCATGTGTAAGACCATTCCTGTTTCATAGTCACAGAGTACAAAGAATTTCAGTCCAAATCTGTGACATTTGGATGGCATATACTGTTTAAAGGCAACACATCCTTTGAAAAGCACAAGCAATTTAACAATCGCCAGTTTCTGAGCTGGTACGTAGAAATCTCTAACTTTCCAATCAGTTCATTCAGAAGGTTGCCTCACCTTCTATCATTCGCCTCAAGTCTATCATCTTCAGTCCGTTCTTCATTATTTGCAAAATGAAGACACCTGAGGAGTAACACAAACCTGTCACGAGACATATATTTCCCTAAAACAGGTGTTGGAACAAAAGTCTTTGCTCCAATAATCTGTGATGACATTTTTACACAGTGTTTCATCATACATAGTGCAAGAAACACACACACACACTTCACCTATAGTAGTATATTTCCAGTGCTGTAATCGTGAATTCTGTAACATTTCTTTGCTTTCAATTAATTCGACCGCATATTTGTTTGTTTTCTGGACAATATGTTGCTGGAGCAGCTCATAAAAATAGTTCATTTCGTTCACGTCCTCACCAGTAGAATATATGGGAAAAGGTCTGTAAACCCAAAATCTGTATTGTCAAATACAGGGATTTCTGGAACCAAATCTTTACCATCACTCCACACAAGTACACCACCTGGTGTTTTGGATGACGCTACACCAACCACATGTAGCGTCACTCTTTGCCGGAGTACAAGGACTCCATGACGAGGAGTCCTTGTACTCCATTGACCAGGAGCTGAAGCCCGACTGCATACACAATGAGCGCGAACTGAAGATGTGGGCATTTGTTCCTCATTGTCTCCATGTGGTGCCATGTGGCTGTGTTTGCCCAGGCAAAACTTGGGGTGCTTGGCTGGGCTTGGGGAGCAAAAGAACTCCCAGCACCCCATCAAGCAGGTATCAAGCAGGAGAAGCTGACGCTGCAAAGTGCCACCTGGTAACACCACGTACACTACTGCCACTAGCAGTGGCAGTAGTGTAGGCAGACACAATGTCACTATCACTGTCTGTATCTCACTCATCTGTGCCATGTGTATAGTCTTTATCAATGTCAGATTCATCACTATCACTTTCCACGGCTTCTGGAAACAATTCGTTGTGAATTTCCTCATCGGTCAATGACTAGGTGGAGTGGTTTGCTGAGCGCAGTCCCGCTACACATAAGGGGCATCACTGGCCGTCCTCTCAGTGTTCGAGAGAGAACTCGACAAACGCTTTCAAAAAATACCTGATCAACCAGACCGGGACTCATACATGAGACTATGAGCAGCCACGCTCAACAGCCTCGTTGATCAGACAACCAACCAGGAAGCCTGGTCGGAGACCGGGCCACAGACAGATCATTGCTGGTTATAAGAAATATTGATACCTCAAAATCTCATAAAGAACTCCCCCAACAATGCAAACAAACCATTGAAAATTCATGAAACTAGCACAGGCTTATTTGCCCCACCTTATTCCCTTGTTTGGAGAGGGGGAAGGAGAGAGGCAGACTGGGTCAGCTGGCTGTCTGTGCTTGTTGCACCAAGTAATCTGTAATGCTTTTAAAATCTTATCCTCACACCAGTCTATACAACTTGTGCCAGATTGGACCCCATATACAACCTATAGTTATTACGCCTTTCATATTGTACTCATTATACCATATTGTTAGTGACAAAAATATGCCAACTTAGGTAATCCTTTTCTTGATTGGTCTGATATGATTGAACCAAACATATTTGCTAATACATCTCAACTTCTAAACAGACTGGATGGAGACATATTCGCATTCAACAGACAGGAAAGAATGCCTCTGGTCAAACCCATTATCTCTCTCTGTCTGGTCTGGAGCTGTATGGTACAGTGACTGGGGTTTGTGAAGACTTAGGAAGAGCAGCTAAAGAAGCAGAAGCAAACTTGAGGAGACAAAGAAGACTTGTTAAGTCACAGGTGAGGTATTATACCTGAAATTTATGTTGTATGTATTGCACACTATGCTGATGAATGCTGAGGATGTGCAAAATAAGTTCTGGTTCTAATTATCTCTTCCTCATATTGTGATATAAACTATGCTAATATGTCCCACCACTCTAAAGGTCAACCTCAGTTTATTTTTAAAATAAATAACTTTCCAAATTGTAAGCTAAATGTCAATTATTTAATGCTTAAAAGGTAAGTTTAATCTTGGCCCAGCCATTATTGTAATGATTTGTACATGTTACAAATTATTTTCTGGTTATGATGATGATAATGTCTTATGTGCTGTGCTGTTATTGTGATACTCCTACATAATTATCGTACTGTATCATCAGTCTTACGTAAACTTCTCCAATTATAAATGTACACTCATTTATGAAATAAGTTTTGGTTTTGATTTGATTTTGATTTGATATACTGTTAGTGATTATCAGCAAGCCTAACATAGAAACAAAATTGATTAAATTGAATATATTTTTTAAATGTGTTAATACAACACTTATCATATAAATGTTCTATTAACTCTTTCTGTGTGTTACCAACACACATTTTTATCCCCAATAATATTGTAATTTTCTTGATCCACAATTCAATCGGGATGTTGCTATAGATATGGAAATAAATAAATAAATAAATAAAGTATCTTATTGATTTGTTGATTTGTCATAATAAGGAATCCTTCTCTCTGATTTCCTTCATAATAATAAGATTGAGTTTCTTATGAGCTGCCTTTTCTGGCAGATGGTAAAGCATATGGTAGTTGGCGCACGTGTGGTACGTGGTCTTGACTGGAAGTGGCGCGATCAAGATGGCAACCCTCCGAGTGAAGGAACCATTACTGGAGAGCTTCACAATGGTATGTCTTTATGGTTATAAATTTTTTTTGTATTTTTGTTTGAGTGAAATACACTGCCATTGCAGACGATGAGTCACAATAACTTGGCTGAATATATGAAGACTAAACCTCGCACACCAGAAGATGAAGAGACAGACGTTTTGGTCTGTTCTGCACCATTATGTCGTCTATTGTTATTGTATTTTATTGCTATTTTCATGGAATTTTCTCTGCCATCAGCATCACATCCTGCAGCCTTAGGCATTATGGAGGATTTTATATTTCATATTTCCCATTTGCATCAGGTCTCAAGATTAATTTTTCAAGCCATCTTTCTCTTTGGCTTTGACTTTTGATGGTTGTGTTTGCAAAATTCTTGCATAAATGTTTGGAATAATGCAAATAGGATATTGGGATTTATTTCTAAAAGTGTTAACAGTAAGGCATTAAATTTTTTTTTTCAACCTTATCTTTCCTTTATTAGGTCTCATTTAAATTTTGTAACTCTGTCTTAGTTTCTGCATCATACGTTTGACATGACAAAATGACAAAGTTAATCTAAGAAATTAGAAGCCTTATGAAGAGAGCTGAAAGCTGAATATACAGGACTTCATCTAGAACCAATGAGTAAGGAGTGACATAATTGAAGTACTCAAATGGATGAACGTTTATAACAAGGGCGATATAAGTAAGGTTTTAAATACATTGGCATAAAATTAGAATGCAAAACAATGGATATAAGTTGGAAAAGTTTTGATTGAGGAAAGACCTGGGATAAATACTGATTTAGAAATAGGGGTGTAGATTTAAGAAACAAATTACCAGGTAACACATTGGCTATAGGATTGCCGGATTGTTATAAATGTTAGTTAAACACGTATATGAATGAGTTTAGTTGAATACAAATAAGCACCTCATATGGTTCAATAGGTCTTTTACAATTTTATGTTCTTTTGTTCTTATGATCTAATATAAATTTGTCAGAGGTGCATTCTAAAATTTTGGACAACTTTAATTTTGAATAGGTAAATATTAAAAACTTTGTTTAAATTCATATGCAGTAGTTTATGTATTTACACATTTGAAGAAGTACGTTGTTTTATGATATAATCCCAATTTTGTTGTGCTTTATCAGGGTGGATTGATGTGACTTGGGATCATGGAGCTTCTAATAGTTACCGTATGGGTGCTGAGGGTAAATACGACCTGAAATTAGCTCCAGGTTATGATCCCGAGTTTCCCCAGGTGTCCACTGTTGCCAGCACCATGAGCAGTACCTCCAGCAACACTGCCACCACTGTCACGTCATCGGCATCCATAGCCACAATTACTACAGCCATAAAATCGACAAAGGTGAGATAAAGGGAAAGTTCATGCCATCCATATGCAGGGCTTTGTATAGTTTTGCTGAATCTAAGGTGGCCAGTTTTAAGGGCTTGTTATTTGTTACTTATATTCTTACCTAAACTCATAACAGTGTGATTTTATATTTTAAAAATATGAATATATATTTTTTGTGTGGGGTTTGCATTAAAATTAATGTATCGTCCCAATACCAGATAGGGTAGGACATGCCTAATGACTGATAAAAATGGCCCATAAGGAATACCTACCTCTTATATGGCTTTGAAGTATGGTGTAAAGTTTAAACATTGAGAACACATGGCCTGACACAGTACATTCATGTCTTTGGAAAAAAAAATACCTAGTGCCTATAATATAAAAGATATTTAATAAGAAAACAAAAAATTTTGCTTCATAACAATTGTTTCAAAATATTTTATTAATAATAATTTAGAATTTGCTTCATTAAACTATAATTTTATAAGAGTGTTAAGCTCTAATTTACGATTCTGGACGATTGAGGTCGGTGGCCTGCTTGCCATGTGAGGACACGCCAATGCCATAACAAACCCAATACCGACCTATGGTTATATCGACCGCCAGACTGGTATATGAGGCTCCATATACCGGTCTCCCAAAACGGTCGATGGAACCGGCAGATCGGTAAATAAGAGGTCGTTAAATCGAGTGGATACTTTATACTATGTTTGAAGTTATGAGTATGACTTTAAAAGAACTTTTTGAAATGTTGCAGTGTTAAGTAATGATATTATGGTGGTGCGATCAGTTCTTGAGTGTTGTATAAGAGTTGATGAACATGTTGTGTACAGGTGGTTAGCACGGATGTTACTCAAGGGACTAGTGTATTGACCAGTCGCAAGTGCAGCTCCACTCCCTCGTTACCTCAGGCAACAACTGATCTTCATAAACATTCTCTTGCTGCCTCAGAACAAGCAGCCTCAGATGATAACCTTACAGCAAAAGTAAGTTAATCTTTCAGCTAATGCTCAGTGCTTTGAATAAAGCTGCTCAAATCATTGTCATCAAGTTATCACATGGTGTTGCTTTTGTTTTGATCTGTGCTAACTTTTTCAAATGCTTGCCAAGTTTATATTTTTATCTTGAATAATTTTACTTTGTTCTATATTGTGTCTTTGAAATATTAAGATTTTACTTTGTATTTTGTCAGAAACAGAGAGTCCATGGCTTGTCCATATCCATATTCATAGCCAGACTTATTCTTAATTTTTCTTAATCCTTTGGCTGCATACAGAGCAGTGCTACTTTCCCCCATGTAATTTTTTCTGAAAACTATATAACAACTAAATTCAGTTTTTGGGTAAGTTTTCATATTTCTCATTATTGGAATGCATTCTGAGATCAAAAGATAGTGAGTGCCATGTTTTGTGTATATATATATATATAAATATTTAAATAAATAACCCACTTAGTGGCTTGCACCCTTGAGAGCTCTCTCTCACTTTGTCCCAGCACACATAGGACAGTGAACATGCTAGACATTGGTTGAATATCTCTGCAAACTGAGGACGAGTAACTTTTTCAACAATCTTGTACTTTCCATGTTATAGAGATCTCATGGCAGATCAGACCATTATCAAAATGAACTACCTCCCAAGGGAAATATAAAACCTACCATTGTCTTTCAAATAACGATATGAAAAATAGAAGAAAACAGTCTAAACATCAGGCATCAGTGGATGCCTGATGTTTATTCAGGTGGCTAGGCCGTTGGCCTACCTCCTCTCGACCACCACTTAACTCTATGACTGGCACTTTCCACTCTTCCAGTCTCTACTGTACTAATTACAATGGGTGTAATTCCTATAATAAAATTGCTGCAGTGGCCACCATGCTATTTTCTAACAGCTGGTGTCATCTGCTATCCTATGACCTCCAACAATGTACACTTCCGGTACTTGGGAACCGAATTAGCTTTTGGTGCACTCTCTTTGTGCACTCGAACTGGCGGTGTGCACTCCACCACACAGTTTGAAAGTTAGCTGGTGTACCTCCTCCTTACTATCAAGGTTATAAACTATGAAGGTAGTTTTAATGCTCATTCTTGTTGATTCATCAGTGAGAACAAAAATTTTGCCATTTATCTGCTCGATATGCTGGCAATTTTTTTTTATTCATATTAATGGCTATGTGATTTATCATCTTTGTGGCACTAGTGCAGGAATGCAGTCCCATTCCAATGTCAACACCATTTTGCTTTTGTAGTTGCAGTAAGCCAAAGTGATCAGAGTATGATATGTCATTCAGAACTAAATAATATGCAGAACACGCTTGAACAAGTTGTTTTTAGAAGCGAAGCATTCGTGGCATCACACAATTTTATAAGAGCATCTTCACTAGCTACATTTTCAACATGTAAAGCAACAGTGTGAGCTTTCTATAGTTTATGAATAACAATTTTTTTTCCAAGAGACTTTAAGCGTATACTGTACTTCAATCCATTCCATAATAGCATACTTGGTACATCTGCCACTCAATTGATGGTCTTAAGCCCTTAGAAGTGAAAAGTGTTACATTGCTTATATTTGCACATACTTTACACCCAAGTTTATCATCCCTGAAGTCTAACCATGGATAGGTTTCCTCTTTTTTTCATCTTCCACATTTCTTCAGTCCAAACACCTGAACAGGGATACGAGTTGGACTACAAAGCACCATTGCTTTCTGAATTGCACATGGATCCAGTTTGAAAAATTGAGCTAGAAGCAGTCGAAACACAACTTTTGCTACTTTCATCGTTATCATTATCAGTCTCCTGTACGTTCTTCTTACACTCCTCATTTTGTTTACAAAAGAAGGAAGTCAACATTGTTTGCTGAAAAGCCATGATGTAGTTGTTTGTGAGAAAAATGCTTCTGTATTAGAGAGAAATCCACGGACCACCAGCCACCACATTACTAATGCCACTGAAACACAGAAGAGTTGCCAACTCTGTATGTCACATGATGCTAGAACCAAAAAGCACTAAATTATGTAAAATTGTGTGTAGCCGTTTTGTCATTTTACCTGCTTAGTATTTAATACTGAAATATACTATTGTATGAATAAAGAATACCTGTCTTACTAATACTGTTAAAGCCATGAACATTATTGCTGAATATTTGTATCCATAGCAGTAGGTTGGCAACTTTGTCACATACCGTTTGTCTCACATAAATGGACAGGAAGCTTCCAAGTGGACAGGAAATGCGTTGGGAATTAAGTTTCCAGATTCATACCAGTACAAATCAGTCTGTTAACTTTTTAAATATATAAAAATTTAAATATTTTATCTTTCAAAAAAATGAAGAAATATCATAACATTATTAACTTGTTAGTTATTTAATACTAATATTTTCCTGCCACGATCAACCATCATCCACAAGCCATCATCTCCCTTTTCCCTCATCCTTTCTTCCTTTCCCCCATTCCATCATCCACTTGCAGAGGTGCCGGAGCGGTGCTCTGGCGACCTCCAGCAGCACTGCACCACAGAGTTCAACCATATTCCTAGGCTTCAACCTTCTTGCCTTTCACCCCAATCTCTTACCTTATAAATTTAGTTTCCCCACCATTTTTTGTCTTTGGGGCTATTCATGCCCGTGTCACTTCTTGAGTGGCTTAATCTCAACCAACCAATCAATCAATCAATTTTTGTCATTACACAACTTGATAATGGTGCAGGATGAACCAAAACCTCATCACTTCCTTTAGTTCAGATTTGTGGGTCGAGTGCCTAATTTTCACTTGTTATTGTGATTGATTTTCTGCTTTTATATGTTTTGTATTATGCATGTTAAATGTTAAATTATCATCCTACAGTTGGTGTACATTTTTCTCTATAAATAATCCATCACTTTTACTTTTAGCCTTACAGTAAGGGTCTTTTATTGTTTAGTTTAAAATGTTATTGTTGAAAAAATGTCACTTGGGAATTAAAATAATCTGAAATGATTTCTTGTTTATTTCCAGGCTGCTGAGACTGTTGCAGAAAATGTGCTAAGTGTTGCTAGTGCTGAAGCTTTGTTGAGTGTTGAGGGCAGTGGGCGTGAGAAAGGGAATGAGCTGGCATCTCTAGTACAATCTCTCAGCTTAAATGACCGTGACATCACATCTGACTTCTCTGATGCCATGTCCTCTTTGGAGTCTGTGCTCAATACCTCTGATATCAAATCTGGTACGGGTGATATGAGTGAGGCTATGACTGTAATGGATGTGGCATTGCATCCACCTACGGACACTAAAATGGGTTCCATGGGCCAAGCTGGGGATTGTCCAGCTGTGACTGTGAATGAAGAAAAGTTTGGTGACATCAGCAGTATAGGGATTAGTAACAGTGTGAGCAGCAGCAGCAACAGTATTGGGGGCCTCACCAGCAGCAGCAGGAAGAGATGTGGGGGTGTAGTAATGGGTGAGGGTAAGAGGGACTGCACTGGGCGCTCCACCATGTCTTCACAGCCTATGAGTGTTAGTGTGCCCAACCTGACCAGTGCAGACTCTGAACCATTGACACATAGTTTGTTGGAGACCTTTACTCAGGTTGCCAGACGACGGGGGGGATCAGCTACCATGCAATCCAGTACTGGGGTGTGTGGCAGTGGGGGAATCGCACCCCATGCTCCTAATTTGCCTGCTAGTGTCAGTAATGTGCGAACAGGCTTGGGGCAACTGATAGGTGGGCCACCCCCAAGCCTGGCCCACCCAGTGTTCTCGCCCTCCACCCACTCCATGTCCAGTCTGGTCCGTCTGGCCCTCTCCTCACACTTCCACCTCCCAGGTTAGCTCAAATGTACACATCTCCAAAATCCATGGCCACAGAAATGGGACCTCAGGTTTCAAAAGAATTACCTCTTGAAATCTATGAAATGAATAGTATTCCTCATATTATTGTGGCATCTTAATGCTTTTTCATCTTTACTTCATATTGATTCTATAGTAAGAGTTAGTTTATTGGTCCCAATTTCTGGTGTCTTAAGATTTTCTGGTAACTGCTAGATACCAAAAAGTCAAGTATGGTGTCTAGTGAACAAAAGTTCCCAACAGACAATTAAGGTAAGATGATGTTCTTGGGAAATTTTAGTTTGCACTAGGCAACATATTTTAACTGGTATTTAGAAGAAAGCTCGGGTAACACCCCCAAACCTTTCCCAACACTTAACCCAATTATATGGCTTCACATGCTTAAATAATAATGAATACAAAGCTCACAATCATGAGATAATCTTTGGACTTGTGTAGGTGCTTGTAACCCCCTAAGTGGTATGATTCACTGTACGGTTTTGTGTTTGGCTGAGGTTTATAACTGGGGTCTCCCTTATCCACCTCCTCATTAATAACATTTATTACTTGTCTAAATTTTTTAGACTTCTAAGGATAAATTTATATTTTTAGATTTTGATGGGTGGATTAGGGATTATCTCTGATGCTATTCCTTTATGATAAAGGTTTGAAATAAATGCTCATTTTATATATAAGTTTAAGTGACACTGCTAAGACAACATTGTCACCCCACATCTCAGAAAGTGCATTAGCTGAGCAGTCTAGACTGGTTTATGGCCTATCTTTAGCTTCAAATTATTGTACATTGTACAATATAATGTTTCATGTACTGATCATCTAGGGCAATTTCTGAAATCTGGTTAAGAAATAAGCTGTGCATGCTGAGGCTGTATAGAGTTAAGCTTAAGTAATGGCAGTGTGGGGGTTGCTTCTGGGTGTGGATCTTCACAGTTTGATCTGTATCTTATATTCCTCAGTTGGGTGCACAAGGTTATCTTTAAAACTGCATGTTCATCTTCATTCTCTATACCATTCGATCCAAGTTTAGCGAGGTGATGTTTGAACCAGTGTTTATCGTCATCATAACTTTGCTTCCAGTTTTCCAATATTCTTGATGATTCTCATCAAATTACAAAGTGAATTTTAAATTTGTACTAATGAGGTACTTTCATTATTTTCTTAAATTTAAAAAAGAAATAAGCAAGTAAATTAGTAAGTGGAGGCAGTTATTGAATAATTTCATTCAAGCTGCATTTTTTTAAGCAGTGAGCAATTAAAAATGCATAATAATAAATTTATGGGAACTAAGAATCATAAGTTCTGTTCCATTGTAATTTTGAATCTAACACTTGATAGTCAAGTGACAAATAATAGGCTTTGTCTTCCTTCCAAAGATTTTGACAGTTCTTGAGTACAGGGAGTCCTGTACTCAAGACCTCAAGTCTCAAACATTAATACACAAAAGTAATTTCCGAAGCAACTGTTGACTCCAGCTACAAAAAGAAAAAATAAACAAGGTAGAAATTTAAAATCAATAAGAAGAATGAGTAGGAATTCATTTGATGAATTGGCGAACATGTGCACGGGAAACCTTTGTATTGATTTATGTAATGGCTCATTGATGAAGAGAAAGGTTTGTTGTGGATAATATCCTTAGCTTCATCAGTGATTATGAAGGCTTAACCATCGTTTACTTAGTAGTGTACTACCAAATGTATAGCAGGTGTAGCCTACTATCAGGCTTTGGGAGTTTGTATTGTCAACATTGATATTTTCTCTTGGCTATATCAGTTTATCAATTGATTTTTAAAAACTTGGTCCCTACTTATGTCAGGGTACTGTCAGCAAGGGTGAGTGGTAGCAAGTGGTGCTGTGGAAGCTGTGAGTGAAGTTTGAATCCTTTATCAGTAGTGGATCTGTGGTGAGTCAGAGATACTGTAGCAAACTTAAACTAACTTACTCCTTTGTTAAGGGGCATTGGAATACTGTCTGGATGTTATACCAATAATAATTTGTTCAGTTGTAGTTTGGAATCTTGTCTACTTTGAGAAGTTGTATAGTGACACCACCAAAACACATTATACAGTTTAGGACCTGATCAGGCTTTCTGGAAATATGCCCTATTTGGATTATTTAAGACCTAATTTTCCATTTTTATAGGAAATAGTACAACAATTGTTTATGCATATTTAGACACACAATGCAGCATATAAATAATGGTTTGTGTGCCTATAATTATTATGCACAAACAAAACACACAATTTGTTTACTCACTCACCTGTTTGTGGCAGAGGCTGGTCTTGGTAAGATGCACAGCAAAATGCATTTACAGCCATGTGACATGCCATCTATTAAACTTGTGCAGTCACCCTGAACTGGCTTGAAGTCCTCAGTGCCCATGGTTAATGCACACAACTGTGTACTCCAGGCTGCAGTGCTGCATCTAAATTCCCTTGCTTTGAAGGCTTCAGTGTTTTTATGTTGCTTATCTTTTCATCACTGCTCCTTCTGGGGGAGTCCCATGGTGGCTCCCTGTAGCTAACTCGCTGAGATTGCTCTGATCCACTGTCACATTAGTTACACGAGTTCATTTAGCTTACCAGGGGCCAGTGCCAAAACCTGGCTCCCTCACACGAGGTGCAGGGAGCAAATGACCTCCTGCCATTTCACTGAGAAAGCATCCAGAAAGTCAGCATAGCTTTACAGACAACTGCTGGGTTCAAAAGTGCCTAAACTGCCAAATAACTTCCCAAAAATATAAAATAATTAAAAGAAAACCAACATAACTAGCAAGAATCCATGAGTACCGAATGCCGCCAGCAGGCAGCCAGAGCTCGGTCCATTGTCAGCTCTTAGCTCGGTTCATCCACTGATGTTTAGCTTAGAGATGTGCAGTAGTGCTCCTTTGTCGCAGTATCTTGCAGCAAGGCCCAGCGCTTCTAAGCTAAGTTCTAGCAATCCTAGGACTTGTGATTGTGCCTTTTTTTTCTCTCTTCTCCTTCTTTTAGTGTATTATTTCATTATAGTATTTCTTTCACGTGCATGTTTTCTGTCTGGTTTTGTTGTGTGGGTTCTTGTGCTTCAAACTGAATATGTCCTGCAGTTTCTTCTCTGGGTGTTCATGAGCAGTATCCTTGCACTGACAGTTTCTTCTCTGGTGTGTTCGAGTGTTTGCCCTTTCGATACCAGGCCACCAAGGTGGAATGCCTTGCCTTAGATATTTCAAGGGTCTTCAGGTGTCTCTGTTTAGGATCTTGGTTGGGGCGTTCATTAGGTTGTGTGGGTTGCACTCATGGCTCGTGCTCTTGTTTATATGGCATGTTAAGGTTGCCATTTTGCCAACCTGCTTGTGGTTCCTGTTTTCTTTGGTGAGTGAGTGTTCTGTATGCTTCTGTCTGGCTAATTACTGGAAGGCCCTGGTATTATCCAGCGGTCTCTGGTGAGATCAGTTAAACATAAAGGACAGCCTGTCGAACTCACTCCTACCCATTGCGAGTTTGAAGGCTGTTTGTTGCTTTATTACGTGGTGACGATCATTCTTTCTTCCTCTGCCATGCTAACTATTGGGTTGATGACTCTTTATGACCTCAATTCCTGTGGGGTTTATTCCCTATAGGTTCTGATATTGCCTCTGAAGCTGAAGGATTTCTGTCAGCTGTCACATTATGGGCTAGGTTTGCTTAGTTTCAGCATTTGCAGCTTTGTAGTCAGATGGAAAGTCTAAGAATTGCCTTGTGTAGTGTTTAGGGACTGAATTGGAGGTGTCTGTGATCTCCAGCTTGGCTCTGGCCATGCATCGTCGTCTTTCCCAGGCAGGTGTGGTTTGCCTTGCTTCACTGAGCCCGCCATCCATTCCTCACTTCCAGCTCCAAAACGTTCGAGGGTTTCAGAGTCAGTTAAGGGTTTAGCTATGGGTGTAGTTCGGCAAATTTCTGCGGTTGACCCTTTTTGGGAATGGAGGTAGTTGAGCCATCTAGTTCCTTCAAGGTTATGGAGTTTTCTTCTCAACTGCATGCTTCCTCCATATCTTCTTTGGAAAATGACTTTCTTTCCCAGGCATTGGATAACGACTTTGGCTCTGCTCCACAGTTTTTTATGGCAGGCTCTCGAGGCTGAGGAAGAGCCCAATTTTTGCCCTTGGATGCCCTTAGATTTTTCTTAGGATTTTGTTAATTCCAAGAAGGGTCGTATGCTCACAGGAGAGGGGGTTCTTTTATGCTCCTGATAAATATGAACTTAATTTAGCCACAGCTTTTTCTAGAATATGCTTGTGTGCCATTGAGTCCTGCGGATTCATCTTTCTGTAGGTTTCCCTCTTCTCGAGTCTCTCCTTCAGTAGCTTCTGGAGAACTTTTGTGATAACTCCTGTGGAATTCAGACCTCACTTCCGTGATAGATCCTGCTTCTTCTGAGTTTGGCTTGGTGTCACCATTTTGCCTATGTAATAAGGTTCAAGACTCATCCTTGTTGACTGGCAACACCTCTTCTTTTTTTTTCCTTGGGCTCTGTTGTACCCGTACTCTTGAATGGTGTGAATGAAGTGTCGAACGTTAGTCAGTTTTTTATGTTTTCTCGATGCTTTCCCGGTGAAATGGAGGAATGTCACTTGCTCCCTGTGTCTAATGTGAGAGGTGGTGGTAAATTTTGCACTAACCAAATTAACACATGAAACTTATGTGAATTGTATATTAGAGCAATCTGAGCAAGATAGCTACAGGGAGCAACATAGTGTGCCGCCACTATGCTACCAGGACTCCTATACAGTACTTATTACATCAACCTGTTCATATCTTTAAAAATGCCAGACTGGATATACTTTTCTCTATCATGTTCCTGTGACAGAAATGTATGCAGTTTGTGTTGAAGGGTTGGAAGGGCAGCACGAGTGTTCACATGTGGACTACAGGTTGCCTTTTCTAGAAAAATTAGGCATCATTCTCTTCTGCCTTCACATCTTAATGTTGCATCTTGGGTTATGACATATACATTGTTGGTCAT